CCCCGGGCCCTCGGAGGCTGGGAACTGTGGGAGGGAGGGGCTCGCTCGCTGGAAGGCAGAGCGCTGAGGGCGGTCCCAGGACCAGAGCAGCAGCTCAGACACCCTGAGGGGAAGAAGGCCAGCAGAGGGGCCTTCCCGGTAGCAGCCCCTGCCACTGCCCTCACCTGCTTCAGGGGCCCTGCCCTCAGCTCAGGTTGCCCTGGGGCAGGCATCCTGGCCCCTCCCTCATGGCCCAGGGTGAGAATTTCCACTGCGCAGGGTAGCTGGGGGCTAAGGAAACAGCTCTGTGACCAATGCTGTCTCCCTTCTTCTGTACGGTGGGAAGTGAGGGGCAGGCAGCTCATGGGACAGCTTTTCCTTTTTTTTATGTATTTTTTTAAATTAATTTTAGAGAAAAAGAGAGAGATAGAAGCATCAATAATGAGAGAGAATCATTGCTTGGTTGCCTCCTGCACGCCACCCCCCCCCCCCCCGCCCCAATGGCAATCGAGCCATCAACCCAGGCATGTGCCCTTGACTGGAATCAAACCCGGGACCCTTTAGTCCGCAGGCTGACGCTCTATCCACTGAGCCACACTGGCTGGGGCCATGGAACAGCTTTTTCAAACTCCAGGGCGTGGGAGCTGCTGAGCTGACGTTCTCACCTGCCCCGCCCCCACCTGGCAGTGCTAAAAACCTGACCGTGGTCATTCGGTTCTTGGTTTATTCATTTTCCATTTTAAATACAAATTTGGGGAAGTTGGTGTCCAACGGGGACTGTCTCTTCGTGGCATCATGATGTGCTGGAGGGGGAGGGGGGGCGTCGCATGGTGTCAGGTACCGACTGCCTCTGAACTGCACAGTGAAAATGGTTAAAATGCCAAGTTTTGTGATGTATATTTTCCACTTCTTATTCGTTTGGCTCAGTGGATGGCGCATCAGCCCGCACACCAAAGGGTCCTGGGTCCAATTCTGGTCAAGGCCACGTACCTAGGTTGCCGGCTCACTCCCTGGCCCTGATCCGGGCGCATGCGGGAGGCAACCAATCGTGTGTCTCTCTCACATCGATGTTTCTCTCTCTGTGCCTCTCCCCCCTCCCGTCCACTCTCTCTAAAAATCAGTGGGAGGGTATCCACTAATCGGTGAGGATCAACAACAGCCAAGTCCACAGTGAATTGCAAAGCAGCAGTCATGAGGAGGCCCCACCTGCAGCGACCCCACGTTACAAACTGTGGGTCCCAGGGGCCAGCAGGCCCGGAGAAAAGCGGGGGGCTGGGGCCCTGGGGAAGGAGCCGGGAAGGAAGAGGTGGGGAGCCTCCGGGATAGGGGTCTGGGTTACACCAAAGCCAGGAGGGGGAGGAGGAGGGAAGACCTGGCAGCGGGAGGGGCAGGCCAGCTGGCCAGTGGCCGGGGTGTGTCTTCCCGGGAATCGTGCTGGCCCCGCAGAGCACGTGCCCGTCCCGCCTCCTTCAGGCAGCCTCAGCACAGATGCAGGGCGGCCGCCCGCTGAGCAAACAGGACGGGGCTGGACTTGACCTTGTTCCCTCTTCCAGGACACCCTCAGAGGCCCCGGCCCAACCCTCAGAAACTAGCGTTCTTTTTTTAAAAAAATATATTTTAGCCGAGACCGGTTTGGCTCAGTGGATAGAGCGTTGGCTTGGGGACTGAAGGGTCCCAGGTTCAATTCCGGTCAAGGGCATGTACCTTGGTTGCGGGCATATCCCCAGTGGGGGGTGTGCAAGAGGCAGCTGATCGATGGCTCTCTCTCATCGATGTTTCTAACTCTCTATCTCTCTCCCTTCCTCTCTGTACAAAATCAATAAAATATATTAAATATATATATATATATATATATATATATATATATATATATATATATATAGTGTTGAGTTAGTATAGGACTGGGGTGTTGATCTGTGAGTGCCTTGGGTGGGGCCTGGATGAGGCTAGTTGACCTATTTAGAAATGTCTTTTGTGTGAAGTGTATCATTGGGCATGTGGAGGTATTATTGATATGAGAAAATGCTAAGTAACTGATTTACTATCTGAAAAGGGATTTACTATCGGGGAAAGGGAGGGAGGAAGAGACTGAACATAAACTGTGCACCTATGGATGAGGACAATGGGGGATGGGGAGGGGGCGGAGGGTGGGGTGGGAACCTGGTGGAGGGGGGAAGAAATGAGGAACCTTTGTAATAATATGAACAATAAAGATTGATTTTAAATATATATATATATATATATATATATATATATATATATATTATTGATTTTCCAGAGAGGAAGGGAGAGGGATAGAGCTAGAAACGTCGATGAGAGAGAAACATCGACCAGCCGCCTCCTGCACACCCCCCACTGGAGATGTGCCCGCAACCAATGTACATGCCCTTGACCGGAATCAAACCCGGGACCCTTCAGTGACGCTCTGACCGCTGAGCCAAACCGGTTTCGGCAGGAACTAGCCTTCTTTTCCGTAAGGCGAGGAGGGCCCAACTACCCGGACCACACAGAGAATCCTCATGATGACCCCGGAGGCTCCAACAGCAAAATGAATGCGGGGCCCAACCACTTGGGGCCGCCCCCCTGCTACCACCCTGGTGCGTCCGCTGAGCAGCAGCAGCCACACCCCAATCAGCCTCCCTGCGGAGCGAGCAGCCAGGGAGCCGGCTAAACCCGCCAGCCCGCGCCACGGCTCAGCCCCCGCCACTGCCATCCGGTCCCTGCACTGCGTGGAGAGGAACTCCGCTGGGCAGCCAGGAGGTCACGGTTCGGTTCCCGGTCAGGGCACAGGCCCAGGTTGCAGGCTCGGTCCCCAGTGTGGGGCGTGAGGGAGGCAGCCGATCAATGATTCTCATGATGGATGTTTCTCTCTCTCCCTCTCCCTTCTCTCTGAAATCAATAAAAAATATATTTTTTAAAAAGCACTAGTCCAGCCGGTGTGTCTGTGGTTGAGCACTGACCCATGCATGAACCAAGAGGTCGCAGGTTCGATTCTGGTCAGGGCCTGCGGTGCAAATTCGATCCCAATAGGGGGGTGGGCATGCAGGAGGCAATCAATTGATATTCTCTCTCATCCGCGTTTCTCTTTCTCCCTCTCCCTTCCTCTCTCAAAAATCAATAAAGACACTTAAAAAAAAAAAAAAAAACGCATCCAGCCTGGAGGTCAGCCTTTGCTCTCTGCTCTGGGCGGGATCTCCAGGCCGAGTGCCCTGACCGTGGGGACTTCAGACCGCCTGGCCCTATGACTTATGAGGGGGCAGTGGGGCACACTATCTCGGGAGGACTGAAGGTTTTAGCCTGGACTCCTGGGAGGGGCTGGGGCTGAAGGTCAGTCGTGAGAGCAGGCAGTAGGTGAGCCCCAAGAACGCTCTGGAGGCCAAAGGCTGGGGCGCCCTGCTCGGCCAGTGCTACGTGCCAGGTCTGGGGTCCGGACTCCCCGGGAGGAGCTTCATGGCTGGATTCTGCCCCGAGAGCTGGCACCCCACCCTCTCGCTATAAAATCTCGGTGCTTCCGGAGTTCCGTGTGTCCTTCCCGCAAGGAGGGTCACAGGCTGGCAGCAGGTACCTGAGGGAGGGCAGTCTGGGGGAGCACGCCCTCACTGTGCCCTTTGCCCAACGCTGCAGCTGCAGAGTGACCGCCCTGGTCAACCAGCCCTCCTCCCTCCTCAGTGCCAGGCACGCTCCTCCCAATACCTGCCCAGGTGTTTCAGGCCCTTTACTCAAAGGCACTCCCTCGGCGAGGCCTCCCTAGCTCCCACCCCAAACACCCTCTTCTGCTTTACTTTTCCTTCTTTGACAACTATCACCATACTCTAGTTTATTCATCTATATTTTTTATATTTTATTGATTTACAGAGAGGAAGAGAGAGGGATAGAAACATCGATGAGAATCATCGATCAACTGCCTCTTGCACACCCCCTTATCGGGGATGTGCCCGCAATCAAGGTACATGCCCTTGCCCGGAATCGAACCCGGGACCCTTCAGTCCGCAGGCCGACGCTCTATCCACTGAGCCAAACTGGTTTCGGCTAGTTTATTCATCTTACTTTTTTTATAAAGTATATTTTTATTGATTTCAGAGAGATAAATATCAATGATGAGAATCACTGATCGGCTGCCTCCTGCATGCCCCCCCACCCACCCCAACTAGGGATCGAGTCCACAACCCTTGGACTCTGGCACGTGCCCTTGACCAGAATCGAACCTGGGACCAATCTGCAGGCTGACGCTCTATCCACTGAGCAACACCAGCCAGGGCCATTTATTCTGCCTCGCCAGGATATACACCCCAAGGCGATGAGGACTTTTGAACTTTGTTCCCTCCTGTACCCCAGGCCCCAGAACACGTCCTGGCATGTGCTGAGTGTGCAGTCAAGGCCTCCTGAGCGAGTGGCCTCGTGTGCCCTTTGGAAGTAGCTCTTAAGACAACAGGCCGCCCCACGCCCACTCCATCCCTGGAAAGGCTACGTCTGCAAAAAAACAGGAAAGCTGACCCCACTCAGCTGCAGACTCATTGCTGAGGGCGAGTCAGCAAGACCGAGACCTCAGGAGAGCATGCCCAATGGGGCAGGAGGCCTGGGTGCTAGCCCCAGCCGACACCTCCCTGCACCGACTGGCAGGCCCTTCCTGCTTGGGCTGGCAGAGGTATGAAACCCTCAGACCCTAATATATATATATATATATGTCACTCTCAGACCCTGGGCTGGCAGAGGTATTATTATGAAACCCTCAGACCCTAATATATATATATATATATATATATATATATATATATATATATATATATATATAACACTTTCAGACCCTGATCACGGTGGGGAGGGGGGGGTAACAGAAGGTGGAGGGCAGACAGACCTCACTAGGCAAGGGTAACTTTTATTTAAAGCCAGAAAACACCCTATTGGGGTTCATCTGTAATCTGTGACAGTAAAAAAAAAAACAGGAGAGGAACCAGAACCCAAAGGGCCTGGGGAGGGGGAGGACAGAAGAGGGGAGGGAGGGGAGGAGGGCAGGCCACGGATCAGGCCACGTAGGGGAATTTGAGCAGCAGCCCCTCGTGGGGCTCCAACTTCAGGTACTCCAGCTCCAGAGAGGCGCCCTCCTCCCGGCCCGGCTGGGTGCTGAGCAGCAGGCTGGCGCTGGCGGGCAGGCTGGCGCTGGCGGGCAGGCTGCTGGAGGCCGCCAGGCGGGCGGGCTGGCTCGTGTCCCCGAAGTTGAGCACCACCAGGTAGCGGTCGTTCTGGTCCCAGTGGCGCACGTAGGCGAAGAGGCCGGGCGCCGAGGGCAGTGCGTGGAAGTCGCCGTGCAGCAGGGAGCGCTCCTTGCCCCGGAGGTCGCTCAGCTGCCGGAACAGGCTCAGCGGGGAGCCCGTGTCTCCGCTCTGGCCCTGCAGCCATGGAGACAGACGGAGCGGGAAGGGATGAAGACCTCCGCTGCCTCAGACTCCCACAAGCCACTGCCCGGCTGCTGGCAGGCCCTGCCCCCCAAACCCGTACCTTCACCGTCATGTTGGCGCTCACAGGTCCCGAGGTGTTGAGGGAGCTGGACTCATCCCACAGCATGACCGGGGCCTGCTCAGGCTGGAAGGCGGGGAAGCAGGACGTGGGGAAGGCTGGCCCCCTTCCCCAGGCCCGGAAGGCCCTCCCGCCCTCACACCGCACTCCTACTGGGGGCAGCAAGGCCAGCTCCCACCTCAAGTCCTTGCCCTGCCTCTCGGCCAGGGGACTCCCCCAAACAGCCTCGAGCCAGCTTCCTCACTCCCCGCCTCTGCTCGGCCGTCTCAGGGTTCCCTGTGGCCACTCCTGCGGAGGCCTCAGCCCTTCTGTGCTCTGCTCTGTGCTCCAGGCACGGAGCACGGGGATCGCCCCGCACAACGTGGGGAATGAATGAAATCTCAGCACAGGTGTCAGACCCCACGCCTGTGGCTGGAGCTAAGCGTGTGCCTTCCAGTCTGACCCCACCCCTTCTCTCACTCACCTGGCTCCCCCACTAAACCAGGAGAGCCCAGCAGAGCACCCGCTCACTGTCCAATGTCTGAATGAGTGAGAGTGTGATGGCTAACGTACTGAACACGACCCGTCCGACACTGCACTTTAAAGCAGCCGTCAGCCAAAACTGGTTTGGCTCAATGGATAGAGCGTCGGCTTGGGGACTGAAGGGACCCGGGTTCGATTCCGGTCAAGGGCATGTACCTTGGTTGCGGGCATATCCCCAGTGGGGGGGGGGGTGTGCAAGAGGCAGCTGATCAATGACTCTCATTGATGTTTCTAACTCTGTATCTCTCTCCCTTTCTCTCTGTACAAAATCAATAAAATATATTTTTTTAAAATAAATAAATAAAGCAGCCGTCACTCTATCCGAACCGCCCTGCGAGAGAGGCGGCCTCACAGAGCAGACGGCCGGGACGCGGAGATGTGACACCGTCTGCCGCGGCCAGATGGCTACGGGCCAGGTGACCGACTAGGAACCAAGCGCAGCTCTCCAGGAGTCAGGCCTGTCCGCGGCATCTATGACTATCCTGGCGGGTAAACACAGTTCCACCCCCCTCCCCACCCCCCGCACCCAGAAGGCAGCGCCCATACCTGTCCGGGCAGGACCGCTGCCTTCAGGCCGATCTCGTCCCCGTAGCTGAACACCGGGGTCCCTGGCAGCGTGAAGAGCAGCAGCTGGTAGAGTCGGAGCAGCGGGGCCGGCACGAAGGAAGTGAGGAGGCCCTCCTGGGACAGCTGGAGGACGGCGCACCGGTGAGCCCCGGAGCCCCCGCCCGCCCTCCTCGTGGCACCCCTTCCTCCGGAAGGCGCCCCGGCCCGCCCCGGCCCGCCCCGGCCCTCCCGGCCACGGTGGCACTCACGCTCCAGCTGCTCCAGCGGCTGTCATTGGTCAAATGCCCGCGAGTGGCATCCAGGTACTGGGCGACCAGCGTTTTCACGTGCTCCCCGGTGAAAGGCGGGGCCGCCAGGTACGAGCTGGTCAGCAGCAGGTCCTTGGCCGGTTCGAGCAGGCTCACGATCTCGCTCAGGTTGGAGGACCCCGTTCCTGCAATCAAGAGCCTGCAGAGAGCAAAGCAGAGGTCAAGGCTGGAAGGGAGGGAAGGAAGGAAGGGAGGAAGGGAGGGAGGAAGACATTTGAACCAGGAACCACCACTCCCCCATTTCCCAGGGCCTAGCACTCCACTGGGGGGGACCCCTGCTGGAGCTGAGTTGGGGATAAGGGGTCTGGCACTCACCTATCTTCACTGAAGCTCTTGGTGATGTTCTGCCAGTCGGCCAACAACAGAGGCGCATTCTAGAAGGCAAAAAGCGGAGGTGACTTCTCCCGGCCCTGGCGAGTCCCGCCTGCTCCCCAAGGCTGCATCTCTCACGTGAAGGAGACTCACCTTCAGCTTCTCCACGTCCCGAACCTGGAACCCATCCACGCCAACCTGCAGCCAGAAACTCAGAGCATCCTACGGGGCGGGGGAGAGACGACAGAGGACAGAGTGACACTCTGCTGCGGAGGCCCACAAACGCCCGCCCCCGCGGAGCCTGCCTGCCAGGCGCTTCCTGGTGACCCGGGCAGCCACCTGCAGGTGTTCCCACCTCCATCTTAACGGCTTAGCCCTGGGTCCCTCCCCTTCTAGCCCGTCACTGCTTCTTGTAGTGATATTTCCCTACTCCAGGCCATGGCTTCACCTCTGACAACCACACAGGAGGCCCGAGAGAGAAAGTGTGTTCATAACCGTAACCTCACTGAATACTCAGCACGTGTGGAGCGCTGGCATACCCATTTTATTCATTTATTTTTTAAATTTATTTATTGCGCCGAAACCAGTTTGGCTCAGTGGATAGAGCATTGGCCTGCGGACTGAAAGGTCCCAGGTTCAATTCCGGTCAAGGGCATGTACATTGGTTGTGGGCACATCCCCAGTAGGGGGTGTGCATGAGGCAGCTGGTCGACGATTCTCTCTCATTGATGTTTCTAACTATCTCTCTCTCTCCCTTCCTCTCTGTGAAAAATCAATAAAATATGTATTTCTAAAAATGTATTTGTTGATTAAGGTATCACCTATTTGTCCTGGCATACCCGTTTCAGAGATGTGGAAATAGCCTCAAAGAAGCAGGAGGCACGCCCGAGGCTCAGGAAGAGCGCAGCAGTGACAGGGCTAAAACCCAGTCACAACCCCCAGACAGATGTGTGGCTCCCTCCCCCTGCCTGAGGCGGTCACGGGGCTGCAGGCCAGGGCAGAGCTGGGCAGGGCCATCAAAGGATGAAAGACTGAAATGCAAAGCATCCCCCTGGGCAGTTTCCATGAAGCTTTGGGACAAAGAGCCGGTTCTGTGGGACAGGCCCAGGCCTGAAGCCCTGGTGCGTGAGCACAGAACAGGAAACCCCGTCCCACGGCCCTTTCCCCCTTTTCTCCCTGCTCCGTGTGCTCCCTCCTCGTGTCTCCATTTTCCTCTGAGCTACCATCTCATCTCGTTACCATCTGAGAACTTCCCTGTCAGTGAGGTTTACAGGGTCTCCCCGCAGCACGCTGCCGGATGGACTGGAGGACGTTGAGGGTCCTACAGAAATGCTGGGGGGACAGATCCTACCCCAGAATCAGGGCTGCCAGCCAGTGAGGGCCCGCCTCCATTTCCGTGCTGCCTGGTCAGTGTCCCCTAAGGCAGGCATCAGGAGCCAGGGTGACAGTCCCAGCCCCTCCCCCGCCGCTGGCTACAGAGCTGGGGCTACACCTTCAGGGCAGTAGTTAAAAAATAAGGTTGCTTGCCGGGATGGGTTTGACTCAATGGATAGAGCATCGGCTTGGGGACTGAAGGGTCCCAGGTTCGATTCCGGTCAAGGGCATGTACCTTGGTTGCGGGCATAGCAGCTAGTCGATGACTCTCTCTCTCTCTCTCATTGATGTTTCTAACTCTCTCTCTCTTCCTCTCTATAAAAAATCAATAAAATATATTTTTAAAAAAAGAATAAGGTTACTTGGACCTCAAATCCCAGCACATGGAACCCTCTGAACTTGGGTGTCCTCCTGCAGTTTGGGGATAACGGTAGGGACCTCGTGGGTACACAGGAGATTAGAACACATCTCAAAAACACTTGGCACAGCCTCAGACACAGGAAGATCCCCAAGCTTAGAACTTCAGGCCGGGCTGTACTTGAAAACATCAAACAAGGACTGGGAAGCCGGTCCGGACAGACTCCCACTGAGAAGCATTCCTCTCCCCAAAGGGAGAAAAGTCAAACCCAGATTAGCATCTGAGAGGCTCCCTTCCCGGCACAGTCACAGCCAGAGGAAACAGGAAAAAGGAGCGCCCAAAAGGAACAAGCAACATGGGGGTGTGCTGTGGGGGGGAGCGTGCCCAATCTGCGGGAGGAGCCAGGGCCCCTGCGGGAGGGGGGCCGGGTGTACCACAGGGGCTGCCGGGCGAGGACCCCACAAGCCAAGGACTGGCCCCACGGGCCTGGGCGCTGGCGCACTCACGGTTATCTTGGTGGCCACCGTGTCCGTCTGGGTGGGGAGGAACCACGAGTCCTGGCCCCGGTAGTTGGGGGTGAGGTCCAGAATGACCCGGATGCCTGGGACGATGGAGGGAGAAGCAGGTGTTGAGAAAGGAGATCAACAAACGCCCCAGCAGAGCAACCCCTTCGCATTACTTGCTCCAGACGCTTAGACTGGAACCCTGGCAAACCTCAGTCCATTGAAACAGAGACACCAGCAAGAAGGGCCCTTGAACCCTCATAGGGCAGAAGGCGAACAGTATTAACTGAGAAGGCTGATCTATAGGGTCCTGAGCTCCCCACCCCAAAGTGAACCCTGTTAAAAGACAGACAAGGTTTTATCTGGATTTTCTTTCCGAAAGGATCCCCTCTCTTCAACTTTAAAAACCACCACCTTCGTGAAAGCCCATTTTGAAAACCTCGGCGCGGAAGCCCAGAGGGGAGCGGCCTGGGCAGGCCAAGTGGGGAGTCCCTGAGCCGCTGGGCAAATCCAGCTTAGGCCGAGGCCTGGTCTCCTAGGTGCCCGCTAGCCAAGCTCCAGGCCAGCAGGAGCGAGGCACACAAAGACCCTACCCTGCCCCCCAAGGCAGGCCCTTGCCAACTCCAAGGTCCTCCAGGGACCCTAACAAAGGCACCCACTCTTTTTCTTGGCCGCCTGCAGGAGACTCTCAAAGTCTTCCTTGGAGCCAAACGTGGGGTCGATCTGTTCCAAGTGGGTCCCATCGACGTCGTCTCTCTGGGTTTTGTGGATCGGGCCCAGCACGACGCCCTTCACCTTGAGGGAGCCCAGGTAGTCCAGGCGCCCCTTGAGGCCTGCGAGGGAGAGAGGGAAGGAGGGAGGGAGGAGGTCAGAGTGGGCCGCCCGAGGCCTCAGGGCGGAGGGGGAGCAGCTGATGTAAAGGGCCGAGCACGTTGCTTCAGCAACCTCGTGGCTCCGGGGGAGGGGAGGCGAGAGGCTGAGTCAGCGTCCCACGTGAAAGTGGGAGAGGGGGAAGGAAGGGGGGGAAGGGGAAACTCTCTGAAGAAAGGCTGGAGGCGCTCCGGCCCATGAACCGCCCGAGTCCATGGGGGAGAGAGAGAGAGGGAAGGGGGTGCGAGCGCCCCACCAGTCAAACCCGGGGCGCCAGGGGGAGGGTCAGGGCTTGGGGGGGAGGGGAGGGGAGGGGTGGGGAGGGGCACGCGCTCACCGTCGAGGCCGCCCGCGCCGGGGCCCTGGAAGGCCTGCGGGTCGCGCACGCGGTAGAGCGCCCCCTTCTGCCACCAGCCCTGCGCCGGCAGGTCGCGGCAGCGCGGCGCCCGCACGATGATGAGCACGGCGCCCGCCAGCATGCCCAGCCAGCCGAGCCAGAAGAGCAGCAGCAGCGCCCAGCGCGCGCGCACCCAGCCGGGGCTGCCCGCCACCTTCAGCAGCTCCTCCTTGGACAGGCCCGTGAACTTGGCCGCCGCCGCCGCCTCGTCGTCCGCCACCTTGATCTTCACCAGGCCGTTCTTCTCGGCGCCGCCCGCCATGGCCGCGGACACGGCCGCCCCCGAGGCCGCGTTCATCGGCTGCTTCTCGGGCTCCAGCTCGTTCAGCTCCACCTCCTTCATGTCCACCTCGGCGTCCTGGCTCATGGTGCCTGCGGGGCCGGCGACAGGACGCGCGCCGCGGTCAGCTGGGGGCTGCGCACCGGGGATCGACCTCCGGGACCAGGAACGCTCTCCCCGGCGACCGCTCCGAGCGCCCGACCTCGTCCGGGGGGCGGGGCGACCTCGGAGAGGGGCGCGGGGGCCCCGCCCCGGCCCGCCTCCCCTTAAAGGGGAACCTCCGGGGCGCTCTCCGGGCCGCTGGCCGGCGGGGCTGGAAACTGGCCTCCGACCGCTCAGGAGCCACCTTAGCACGAAGCCTCCTGCAGGTGGGCAGCCTGTGGCCCCCCGCCCGGTTCCCGCAGGGCACAGGGTGCGGCGCCGAGGACCCTCTTCAGAGCCCACACGGAGGCTAGCGACTACCCGACACCATGGGACCCATTTGCCCCGCGCAGGCCTCAGCCGCCGCCCGCCTCGCCTCCCCGCCTGCGGGAGGCCCTGCGCCCTCTGCGCCCAGGCCTCGGCGGCGGCGTAGACCTCTGGGCCCCCGAGACCTCGCTCCCCGCAGGCTAGCCCACTCCTGCCAGGCTCGTCCTGACTCGTTCAGTGCACTCAGGAGGCGGCTGCAGTACTCCGCTTTATTAACTTGACTGAACTGGCTCTGGGCCTGTCTTCTCAGGAGGTTCTGGGATGACTGCTGGACAGGAGCGCGCTGGCACTGGTCTTCCCCCTCCCTCCCCAGGGCCTGGCGCCGGGAAGCCGGGCAGCTGGGCATTGGACATGTACGAGACTGATGGCAACCTCGGGGCTGTAGCAGACATTCCAGGGCGAGGCCTCAGTTAGAGGCATCTAGGAATTTCCTACAACAGACCAGAAGGTGCCATGGTCAGCCCCTTCCCCACCGCCCAGGTCCCCCCGAGTCCTCCCAGAGTCCCAACCTCGCGCCCTGACCCTTCCCTCTGGAAGCCCGCCGCAGCTCTGCTCAGGGGCCTTGCAGACTACCCAACGCCCCTCAGACAGATCCCTGAACTACGGGGAAGTGGGCACAGCAGGGACTGCTGGACAGCAGCCCCATGAGGTGCCAACACTCTCGGAACGCCTTGTTCCTGGGCAGTGCCAACGGGGCCATTTTCAGAGAGGAGCTGAAGGAGGTTCTTTCCCCTCCCTCCCGTGGGCTGGGAGCCAAGATGGCTGTGTGTTTGGAAGAAAGCAGAAACCAAGGTCTGAAGTAGCAACAGACAAGAAGGGGAGCCGAAGGTGTGAAAGGCTCATCCTCTGCCATCCTCTTTTTCACCCCTGAGCCCACCCCAAGCCCGGTGAAGCCGGAACTAACTCCTACAGGGAGGCAGCCCAGTGGGCAGAGGTTGAGTTCAGTCTGGTGTTCGATGATAAGACGTCCACGGTGCCTGAGCTTGCAGCTAAGCGCCAATCAGGGGCCCTGCCCAGACCTTTCTCCCTAGCATGAAAGCTCAGGTCAGAAGCTCTCCGTGAGATGGTCCAACATAACCACCCCCACCCCCACCCCCGAAAATATTATAGGTGGAACATGTATTTGATACACCTAACAGGAAGTATGGTAGCAACCATACTTAGATTAAAAACTGCTGTTTGAATTTTAACCGTTATTCTGGTTTCGGCGCTCGCTTACTTGCTTAAAACAACAGGGTAGTTGCCTCAGCTGCCAGATTGAGACCTGGAGGCTAAGGCAATTTTCCAGGACCACAGGAGACTGATTCCCACTGACTCGGTAGCTCCAGGAGTTGAAACTGCAGATAACCTTTAGAGATTAGCTTGCCTCAGCTCTGCTTCTGTATTATCTGCTATCGCAAGATAGATCCACATTCCAACGTCCAGCAGGATTTTAGAATTTAGAACAAAGGAAAATTCTTGTGGTTTAGACCTTTAAAAGGACTGCCTACACCTGGAATGGCCGCTGTCCTGAGTGTGGCCACCTGCGTGTGGTGCTCTCGCAGCGGTCCTGGCCTGCTTTTTTAAAATCAATCAGCAGCCTCTGGTGGTCTTATTTTTGACTCCAGGGTTCGACCCCACAACATTATCACAGCCTAGCCTAGCCCTTCTCCTGAATTCTTACTGCTTTCACACCATTTAAAGCAGAAAGTCACAGGGTGAACCATCCTAAGTTGGTCTTCATCCTTGTTTCCGGGCACGAGAGCTGCTAACCCCTTGAACTTCCTGAACAACAGAGGGGATAGGCCATCTTTTGTTCTAATATTTGATCTTAGTCCTCCCAGACACGAGGGCTTCTCAGACCTTTGGAGTCTGGTGTAGTAAGAGTGTCATTTTGTATGTTAAGGAGGAACCACCAGTGATCAGTAGGTTACAACTTTCGGCCCCACCCTCTGACCTCAGAGAGGGGAGAGGCTAAATACGGAGCTAATCACCAGCGGCCACGGATGTGCCTGCGCAATGGCACCTCCTTAAAGCCTGGCACACGGGGCTTGGAGAGCTTCCAGTTGGTGAACACAGCCATGTGCCAGGAAGATAACATACCCTGAGTTCCTGTGCTTGGGACTCTCCCAGCCCTCTTCCTGAACCTCTTTTCTGGCTGTTCATTTATGTTATACTTAACTAGAGGCCCGGTGCACTTGTAGGGCCCCTAGTGGCTGCCAGCTGCCGGCAGGGCACTCCCTCCCTTCCCCCAGTCACCTGCTGCCACCACTGCCACTAGCCAAGTCCTCCCTCCCTTCCCCCAGCCCTCCCCCTGGCAGAACTCCTAGAAGATTCCCCGTCGATGGGACAATATGCATGCTATGCTTTTATTATCCTAAATAATAAAAGGGCCGAAACCGGTTTGGCTGGGTAGTAGAGCGTCGGTCCCGGGTTTGATTCCAGTCAAGGGCATGTAGGTTGGTTGCGGGCACATCCCCGGTAGGGGGTATGCAAGAGGCAGCTGGTCGATGTTTCTCTCTCATCGACGTTTCTAGCTCTCTATCTCTCTCCCTTCCTCTCTGTAAAAAATCGATAAAATATATATTTTTTAAAAAAAAAAACACTAAATAATAAAAGGGTAATATGCAAATTGACCAAACAGAATGACAGGTCACTATGATGCACACTGACCACCAGGGGGCAGGTGCTCAAACACAGGAGCTGCCCCCTGGTGGCCAGTGCGCTCTCAGGGGGGCAGGGAGTGGACCTAAGCCATCAGTCAGACATCCTCCAAGGACTCCCAGACTGCTAAAGGGCGCAGGCTGGACTGAGGAGACCTCCCTGCCGCCCTCCAGTGCACAAATGTCGTGCACCAGGCCTCTACTATAGCATAATAAACTGGTAATAGGAAGTAAAGGGTTACCCTGAGTTCTATGAGCTGTTACTGCCAATTTGAACCTGAGGAGGGGGTGGGAACCCTGATTTGTAGCCAACTCAAAAGTGTGAGTAACCTGGGAACGGATTACTTGAGAATGGTGTCTGAAGTCGGGAATAGTATGTAAGACCGAGGCCTTAACCTCTGGGGTCTGTACAAACCCTACTGTTAGTTTCAGTACTGAATAAATTGCAGGATATCTAGTTGGTGTTGGCACAGGAGTGGAGAACTACTTGGTGTGGAAAACCCAGACATTTGGTGTCAGAAGTATTCTGAACTGAAAACAGATCTTAGTGGATCTCAGCAAACAGGTCATAACAGCAGATTCTTCTCTAGACCCTTGGCCCAATGTACTCAAATATGGAATTGTTATTTAAGAAAGTTTCTTCTTATTCGTTACACTAAACAAAGAAGGTACAAAATATATATGGAAAGGCAGACATTTTGGAAGACATTATGAAATAACAGAAATCTAGATTCTAACTACCATTCTTCCATGAGAAGAGTAGGTAATCTCAAAACAAAAATTTGTACTATTAAGGTGCTGACTTAAAACTCAGAAACTTGCCGAAACCGGTTTGGCTCAGTAGTAGAGCGTCGGTCTGCGGACTGAAGGGTCCAGGGTTCAATTCCGGTCAGGGGCATGTACGTTGGTTGCGGGCACATCCCCGGTAGGGGGTGTGCAAGAGGCAGCTGGTTGATGTTTCTCTCTCATCGACGTTTCTAGCTCTCTATCTCTCTCCCTTCGTCTCTGTAAAAAAATCAATAAAATATATATATTTTTAAAAACAACTCAGAAACTTAAGAAAAGCGGATTTTACCGCAAGTTTGGAAGGGGAATCCCTTTTTACTCTCAAATTAGCAAGCAGCATTAGAACAGAGTTACCATATAGTAAATTTCTTTAAAATAATGTCAGAAATTTACAAAAACACTTTTACCGATAACTAACACCTGATCTGGGGGGAAATACTGAGACTTAAACGTTTTTATCTACTTCCAGCAAATAAAATCCTATACAGAAAAATAAAACTGAATCTATAGACAAATTATTAGGATAAAGAGTTCAATAAAATACTAGACACAAGACAAGATACAAAAATAATTCTTTTCTGAACACTAGTAGCAAGCTACTAGGAAAAAAATTTAAGTTGCCATGTCCACTAGCAATGAAAAACATTCACGCACAAAATACTGGGTACCTACTATGTTCTAGGCACTGTTCTATGAGCTGGGAGGTAGGAAGGAATGAGTCTGTGCTCTCATGAAGCTTAATTCCACTGGGTTAATCCCAGCAGAGCACTGCGCATTTGCATTTCCCTGCTTCTCTCTGAATCCTGGCAATGCTTCCTACTGCCAGGAGGGGGCACAGGACGCCGAGAAAAAGGCCTGAAAGCAGCTTGCATCATCCAAGACAGCGATTTTCAACCTTTTTCATCTCATGGCGCACTAATTACTAAAATCCTGCGGCACACCCAAAAATATTTTTGCTGATCTGACAAAAAAAAAAAAAAAAAAAAAATATATATATATATATATATATATATATATATATATGGTTTTGATTCATTTACACTATTGTCATGTTGGCTGTTGTAATTTTTTTTAAATGTGCTTTTATTGATTTGAGAGAGAGGGAGATAAAAACACCAATGATGAGACTCTGATCAGCTGCATCCTGCGTGCCCCCTACTGGGGACTGAGTGGGAAAGCCAGGCATGTGTCCTAACCTGGAATCGAACCATGACCTAATTCCTGGGTCCGTGCTCAACTACGGAGCCACACAGACCGGGTTTGGCATGTTATTCATTTGTTTGTTTCCCTGTGTCTGCCACCCAGAATATGAACTCCAAAGGTACATAAAGGCACTGTCTGCTTTATTTCCTGTTGTATCTCCTGGCTTAGTAGGTGCTCAACCCATCCTAGGAGAATAAATGTTAAATGAAAGTCACCCATAATCCTCAACTGCCAAGATCACTTATTCCCTTCACCCCCTTTATGCTTACAGAAAGAGCATCCCATGTCTGACAGCCCCCTTCACATTCCTCCCTCCTAGTGGATTCTGTCACTACACAAGAGGCTGCAAACTCAAGTCTAACCACCTTTGGCTCACAGGCATTATTTTGATTGGCTCACAGAATATGCTTTTAAAAAAATGGACCTTTGCCTTAGCTCAGTGGTTGGCAAACTGCTGCTTTCGAGCTGCGGTTTGCCGCTCTGCTGACTGATGAGTTTGCTGACCACTGCTGTAAGGCATTATTACCCTTACCCAGAAGTTTTGACTTCAGGTTAAAGACATTAGTACATTATTAAATTGTTTTTTAAGTGTTTTCCCCTAAGGCAGTGGTCGGTAAACTCATTAGTCAACAGAGCGGCAAACAGCATGGGGCTCACAAGCCACCGTTTGCCGACCACTGCCCTAGCTGGTTAGCTCAGTGGATAGAGCGTCAGCCTGGGAACTGAAAGGTCCCAGGTTCCATTCTGGTCAAGGGCACATGCCCAGGTTGTGGGCTCAATCCCCAATGGGGGACTTGCAGGAGGCAGCCCATCCATGATTTTCTCTTTCATCATGGAGGTTTCTATTTCTCTCTCCCCCTCTTCCTTTCTCTCTGAAATCAATAAAAATATATTAAAATAAACGGACCTTAGGTGTTTACCACAAACGACTGAAATTAGCACTAGCCAGTTTGGCTCAGTGGATAGAGTGTTGGCCTGTGGACTGAAGGATGCCCAGATTGTGGCCCGGTCCCCAGTAGGGGGCGTGCAGGAGGCAGCCAATTAACGATTCTCCCATCATTGATGTTTCTTTTTTTCTTTTTTTTAATATATTTTTATTGATTTTGTACAGAGAGGAAGGGAGAGAGATAGAGAGTTAGAAACATCGATGAGAGAGTGTCATCGATCAGCTGCCTCTTGCACACCTCCTACTGGGGATGTGCCCGCAACCAAGGTACATGCCCTTGACCGGAATCGAACCCGGGACCTTTCAGTCCGCAGACTGACGCTCTATCCACTGAGCCAAACCGGTTTCGGGCAGGAAAATCTTTTTAAGGCGCCTGTGGGGCGATAACAATGAGGGAAGACTGAGAAACACACCCGAAGGTCACTGTGTATCTGCTCGGTCCCCGGCTACCCTGAGAGCAGTGTGACATGGATGTCAGAGGGCAGGGTCTGGAATCGGGCGGCCTGGATGTGGACCTTGGCTCTCCTGTTGCTTAGCTGGATAACACGAGCAGGTTACCTGCCCTCTCTGGGCCTCGGGTTCCTCCTCTGTGGCCTCACCTGAGCCTCTCCCTGGGGGAGGCGCTCAGCGAGGCCGCACGGCAGAGCTCACCCCAGGGGCTGGGTGCGTCTGCCAAACCGCCACCGCCGACGGTGACCCAACGCTGGGGTCTCAGCAACCAGTCCCCGGGCCACCAGGCGGGAGGTGCAGGGGCCCCTCACCTGGGAAAGGGGTAGTAAGTGTGCCCACCATGTGGGGTTTGGGGGCTCATCAATGCATGCAGGTGCTTAAAACGGCGCTCCGAACAGCCAGGATCCTGCAACACCGGACCGGACGCAGGATGGGGGGCCCAGCCAGGAAAACCAGACTCTGTCCTAAGACTCCAGCAGAGCACCTCCGCCCGGGTTCACTCCCGAAATGGCTCCATGCAGGGCCCTGCAGCTGAGCGCCCCCAGCCCGGGCCTCAGTACCTGAGTCGCCTCTGGCGCCGGCACCCTGCGCACCAGGCCCGGCCGAGGGTTCAAGAGGTTCGGGATCCATGGCGGCGGGCCCTGCACGCGGGTTTAGGGTGTGTGGGGGCAAAGGGAAGCTCAGGGGAGGGTTTCAGGGTGGGCGGCTCTGACCCGAACGTAGCGACAACCCGCGGGAAGCCGCCCCAGGCCTCACTCACGGCTCCAGCCCCACGGAGGGCGGCGGCGGACACCCCGCCGCAGCGCCCCGGGCGTGCCCGCGCGCCGCCCTAAAGCGCCTGCGCAACTTTTCGCGCCGCCGGGAGCGCGCGCTCACGTCCTCTTTGTCTGGAAACCTCTACCCACAACTCCCCAGGCTCGCGCGCGCTCTCCCCGTGCGCGTGCGCCGGCCACAGCCCCGCCCTCCAATCCCGTGGGCCACCGCGAGAGGGTATTTAAGTGCCTCGCTGCGCCTTGTAGGTCTTGTTTCCTCCTTGTTGCTCTGGGTGAGTGTTCTTTCTGCTTCGGAAAAGCATGGCCGCTTGAGCGTGGCGTGCCTTAGGTAGTCTTCTGTGTTACGCCTGTTTGGGGGGGGGGGGCAAGAAATGGTGGCCTCCAGGCTTCCAAGCTACCGCCTGGCTTTGTGAAGGACAAAATGGCGATGGCGGGCGGTGCCGGCGGCCTTCTCCGTGATGAGAGCCTTTCACAGACCTGTACTGAGTGCCGTGAGGATAAGAACCTCTGAGACGGGCCTTGCGCAGCCGGTGCAGTCGTCGTTCCGGGAGACGGCGTTGGGGCGATGTTGAATGCCGACCTCATGTCCTCTTTGTCCGCAGGGCGCAGGCGCGCGTCTGGACGCTCAGGGGCCCGGGACTTGCCTGCCGTTAGGGTAAGTGCGGAAGGCCGCCCTGACGGCCATCCCTCCGTTGAATGCCTGGAAGGCCTATGCGATGTGCTACGGGGATGACAAAAACCGAACTCTCTCTTTCTGATGGGTTGGTGGAGAACCATGCATTCTGAGTAGCACCATCCGCAAGCAACAGATGGGTTGTTTTTTTTTATGCTTGGGTCAATTTAGCTCTTAAGTGTTGAGGCACGAACACAAGGCTGCAAAGGATGAAGCTTAAGTGAAGGATGTCCTTGGCTTTTTTCCAGGTATGGCTCCATCCCAGAGAGCATACAGGTTGGAGGATGGGACAGGACCTGTTCTCGTGCGGACCGGTCCTTGCAGCAATGCTCCGGTGGGTACCCAGGGGTTAAGCAGCCACGGGTAGGGGTGCGGTGCGGTGTGTAGATGGGTGTCCAGTTGGGCTGGCCACTCAGTGATGAACATTCAACGACAAGCATATGACTGAACTTGAAAGTGATGTCATCCGAGCCCTGAGAAGTTGGCCAGGAGTGTTCGCGGGTCTTGGCCTGGCTGTTATTGGGCGTATGTAATGCCTCCTTTTTTCTGTCCCCAGCAGCTCATCCGTCCTGAGGGACTCCGCCACCTCCCGGGGTGACTACAGGTAATTGTTGAAATGTGGGATTGAGGTGTTCTCTCTCCAACCTTCCCCACAGCCGGAAGAGCAAATGGTCCTTCCGGCTTCTCTTGGAATGGTTTGCTGGGGCGGGAGAGAACACCCCAGTGGTACATCTGGTTCTTGAGGGTGTGGCTTTCCCCCTCACCCCCATGTCACTGTCAGATGATTTGAATTGTTCCTCTGATGCTCTGTGAGGTGTGACAGGTAATAGCATGTTAGAGTTCTGATGGCAGTTTCTGTTCAATAATGAAATGCTACTCAGTTCCAATGTTTCTAGATGATAATCTGCTCCTCATTTACAGGTTGTCCTGATAATGACCTATTCATCTGTCTAAACGGTAAATAGCTTCTCCCAATACTGGGGTAAACATATGTGAACCCATTACCAAAGAATAACTTGGGGACATGTGGCTTTTTGTCACCAGAGCCCTGATTGACCCATTTAGCTTTCTGGTGCCTCATTTCTTGTAGTGATGTTTCTTGGTGTCTTGCCCTCTAGGTCACCATTGACCTGCCCAGGGTTGAAAGAATGGAAGTGGTGAGTATGTGTAATTTTTATAACGTGCTCCATAGTCCATGCCTGTGAGGAGAGCAAACATCCTGTCTTAACCCCAGTACCAGCCCCAGAGCCAGCAATGGTGAACCCACTGGGGCTAACTGGGAGAGAGGATGAGAACTTGTTCCGTAGGAACTGTCTGAGGTACAAGCAGACAGCATTTGCTTAGTTTTTCCTGATCTGCCCACTAACCATAACTAGAACCACTTTGGCTGTTTCAGGTGATCTTTGGGAGCAGCTGGGTCCTGTGTGCTCCGGGGAACCTCCAGAGCTAACAGGTTAGTTGATTGTCAGGCTCATGCCACCAAGTAGTCAGTTTCTGTGATGAAGCAAACTAGCTCACTATGACTCAGAATGAACACATCTGAACACCTGAGAAACTGGGGGACGTGGTGGCGGCGGGATACCCAGCTGGAATTTTTATCGACCACAGCCTTGTCTTCCAGGTCCTGTTAGCCCTACCTGCTTGCTGGTCCACTCCAAGGTGAGTGATTACCACGTGTGTTGGCGCATGCACATGCCAGGTAGAAAGTGGCCTTCAGGCCTACATATATGATGACTGACATGGAATCTCGTTCGGCTGATGACTTGCTGTTGAGACTCGGAAATCTGATTTTCTAGGAACTGACTGAGGCGGGAACAGCTTTTAGTGCAGGAAGTGCATGCTGACTGTCTTGTTTCTTTCAGGTTCAGCACCTTCAGGGGACCCAAGAGTGATGTGAGGTAAGTCTGTAACTCAGTCTATGGCTGCTATATGAGATGTGGCACTTGTGATCACTCGCCAGTGATGAGTTTAATACCGCCCCAGTCTGATCACTGTGACTGAAAGGTATTTCTGAGCTCTGAGCTTGCCTCGGAGTGAGTGGCCTGGGGAAGCTCAGTAGGCGGTGTAGCCAATAGGACAGGCTTCCAACTGCCTCCTTTCTGTAAAGGGCACGTTTTAAAGCCTATGCAGGTGCCTGTCCTCCAATTGAGAGGGCTCCTACGGCTGGTTGGCTTAGTTCCCAATCGCTCTTTTGCAGGGGAAGTGGAGGCTGTGTTTCTGCTCAACTTCAGCCCGAAGTTGGAGGTGAGTAACGCAGAGGGGACGTGCAGGCTGGGCCGCCATTTCCCAGTGAGGAGACATTCACACGTCTTACCCCCTGTCCCTGTCCCAGAGCCTGTGAAGGTGAACCCACTGGGGCAGGCTGGGGGAGAAGAGGAAAGTGTGTTCCAGAAGGAACTGTCTGAGGGATCGCAAGGATTTCTAAACGTGGGAAAGACGGAAGTAAATTACTTGTTGAGAAAATTATGGTTTGGTTTTGTTTTTTTCAGGTCTAAAGAAAGAACAAAGCATGTATAATGGTAGGTATCTGCCCACTTTCTGTTGTGTAACCAAAGTTACTGACATACAGAAACCTAGAGGTGTGGTTGGGTTTGGCTCCTTGTAAGCTCACAGTGCATATTTCCCTCCAATAGAATAACTCACCTGTTTTTTCCCCTATAGGAATCCAACTCTGAAGACAAAAGAATTTTCAAGCAATTGCCTGTGTAATCTGGCTGTTTAAATTTTCAAATTTCTGTCCTTAAAAATAAAGGTTCTTTTTATCCTTCATTTTGGTTGATGTGTTTGAGTGGATCTAGTTTGCGTAAATAGGTTAAATTTCTAGGGCATGTGTGAGGGGTGCTCAGGTGGATATAGTTGGCATCCATCTTGATCTCTATATGCGTTATATCTGAGCATATGCAAATGGCTGCCTGAGAAGTTAGTCTCCTCCACATGGGTTGCCTGTGTCCACATATTCCCGATGTTTTCAAATCTTTATCTGTCCCAGGCAATCTGGCTTTGTAGTGGCACACAGCATGGGTGGGAGGTAGGGGTATATGTGTGATTAGGTCTGATTCTGAGCCTTTTAGAGCAGTTATAGTTCTCCAAGCCCTCGTGGGCACCAATATTCAAGGGTGCTCAAGTCTCATAAAATCTGGGTTCAGCCTACTCCACCCAGACAAGTGCACCGGTGGACTGGGGCCTCAGGTGATGGTACCCACTCCCTGGGAGTTTGTGGCACAAGTGAAAAGGCTGCTGTTAGATCCATCTGCGGTTAATTTGAGTCCACATGTGGGACCTGCAGATAATGAAGGGCCAACTATGCTTTTGTATAAAAGCAAGGGAATGCATTTTTGTTGAAGTGGCAGCTATACCAATTTGAGTTAATGATAAGAACGAGAGGGTTGTTCCTGAGAATGGGTCAAATACCCACGCCAGGATCCTGGGGGTAGTGGGCGATGCACCAGCATTTAAACGGGGAGCAGCAGAGGAGCCCAGAAAGGCCCTGCAACGGGGGGGGGGGGGGGGGGGGGGGGGGACAGACCCGCAGAGGTGAGGAACCAGAACCCACAGGAGCACCTGGTGAAGGGTGTGTCAGAAACAAAGGTCAGAACAGACCCAAAGACTGCAAGCAGGTGTATTGAGCTTTAGCTACAGACTGCTTGCTCTCCAGTGCGTGCATTACCTCAACAAGGAAAAGGTGATGGAATTACCCATTGTCACAGCTGCAGGGGAGGAGGGGCAGTTGTCCGGTCCCAGGGGGGTAGCCAGTACACCAGGTAATTGACTCTGGGGGTCTGGAGGCTGCTGTCACTCTTAACCTCTAAAGCAGGTCTGGGGGTGCAGCAAGGAGGTGATGGAGCCAAAGGGAGATGGGCTGGCTTGGGGGCAGGCAGGATCCACTAGAAGTGTGTGGTAGATATGACACTTTCCCCAAATGATCTTCACCATTTAATTCAAATTAAAGCCCATGTTAACGGCTACTTGGGCTAAGAAATGAGAACATACGGGATGGGTTGTAAGAGCAACAGTGAAAAGCCGGAGCGATTGAGGTCTGGCTCCTCATTCCTTCCGTACACTGTCCACTGCATCTCCAGCCGGGACCTCCTCCCTGAGCACCCAGCCGCCCCTTGACCTCCCCAGCAGGTATCTAATCAGATAGTCACACCCTTGATTCTCTGCTCTGTCCATGTCTGCGCCCCCAGGCTCCCCTCTTTAGCTAGGCGGTAACAGCACCAACAAGTTCCCCATCCAAACTTATCAATGCACTCAACCTGTGGTCAGCAAACCACAGCGCGAGAGCCACATGCGGCTCTTTGGCCCCTTGAGTGTGGCTCTTCCACAAAATACCACGGCCTGGGCGAGTCTGTTTTGAAGAAGTGGCATTAAAAGAAGTTTAAGTTTACAAAATTTGGCTCTCCAAAGAAATGTCAATCTTGTACTGTGGCTATTTGGCTCTGCTGACTGATGAGTTTGCCGGCCACTGCACTAAAGCCCAGAGCCAAGACCTCGCTCCTGCCTTTGGGTTACGCTCTCTAAGAGGCCAAGTAAGACAGCCAGTAAGATGACTTAAGCCAGCACAGTGGTTCTCACCCAGCAGTGGTTTTGCCCCCAGGGATATTTACCAACGTCTGGAGACATTTTTGCTTGTCCCCACTTGGAGTGTGTGGGGTCAACTGGCATCTTAATAGGCAGAGACCAAGGGTGCTGCTAACCACCCCACAACGCACTAGACAGACAGCTGTGTCCCTTCCACCCTGCAAACAACGAAGTATCCCGCCTAAAACTTTGATAGTGCTGTTTGAGACACACTGGGTATGTGATAAATGCCAACAAGCCCCAGCCGGTGTTGCTAAGTGGTTACAGCATCAGCCCACACACCAAAGGATCTCAGGCTTGATTCCCAGTCAAGGGCACCTACCCGGGTTGCAGGTTAGATTGCCCCGCCAGGGTGCGTGTGGGAAGGAGGAAACCAATGTTTGTGTCTCTCACATTGATGTTTCCCTTTCTCTCCCCATCTCTCAAAAAAGTCCATGAAAACACATCCTCAGATGAGGATTTTTTAAAAAAAATAAAATAGCGTTAACGGCAGTCTCTGCCATAATTGCATTCTCAAAAGCCCTCACCACATCTACGAAGGAACCCTTTCCGTGTAAGATCACACATTCGGAGGCCCTGAGAACTGGCTCCCTTGTGGGGGCATCATTCTACATACCACACCCGCTTATCGCAGCCCCTTGCTGGAGGCCCTGGTTTTACGCTTCTTTTTATTAACATCGGGGACCCCGAGCTGAGAACCTTGACCTTGTTCTCTTAAATCATGGTTTTTCAGCCCTAGCCGGTTTGGCTTAGTGGATAGAGCGTCGGCCTGCGCACTGAAAGGTCCCAGGTTCGATTCCGGTCAAGGGCATGTACTGTGGTTGCAGGCACCTCCCCGGTTGGGGGTGTACAGGAGGCAGCTGATCGATGATTCTCTCTCATTGATGTTTCTAACTCTCTATCCCACTCTCTTCCTTTCTATAAAAAAAAAAAAATCAATAAAATATATTTTAAAAATAAATAAATAAAAAATAAAATCATGGCTTTTCAGGAAGCTTGCCAGTAGAAATTACATTAGAGAATGGAATGACCTACTCTTGCCTGAAGGATCTCAGCCATGCCTGTACCTCACACAGAGCCAAGGCCTCTGCTTTCCCAGGAAACAGGACCTCAGGTCCCTTCTCAGACCGGGTGGTTCTAGAATCCTATATAATAAAACCCTAACATGCAAAGCCACCGAATGGTGGAACCACTGGTCATGACATGTGTGGACCACCAGGGGGCAGATGCTCAACCCAGGAGCTGGCCCCTGGGGGCGCACCATCAGGCAGAGGCCAGGCTCAGGCTCACGACTGGTAAGCCCAGCAGTGGCGGCGGGCAGGAGCCTCTTCCACCTGTGCTGCAGGTGGGCGGTGAGGAGCAAGAGGTCCTAGACTGTGAGAGGGTGCAGGCCTGGCTGAGGGACCCTTCCACTCCAGTGCACGAATGTCATGCACCACACCTCTAGTCCCTTCATAAAGCCTTTGCTTTGATCCTATAAAACAATTGCTCATGCCGAAACGGTTTGGCTCAGTGCATAGAGCATCGGTTTGCAGACTGAAGGGTCCCGGGTTCGATTCCCAATTGGGGGCATGTACCTTGGTTATGGGCACATCCCCAGTTGGGGGAGTGCAGGAAGCGGCTATTCAATGTTTCTCTCTGATTGATGTTTCTAACTCTCTATCCCTCTCCTTTCCTAACTGTAAAAAAAATCAATAAAATATATTTAAAAAAAAAAAAAAAAAAGAATTGCCCATGCCCTGACCGGTTTGGCTCAGTGGATAGAGTGTCGGCCTGTGGACTCAAGGGTCCCAAGTTCAATTCCGGTCAAGGGCATGTACCTTGGCTGTGGGCACAACCCCAGTAGGTGTGCAGATAGGCAGCTGATCGATGTTTCTCTCTCGTCGATGTTTCTCTCTCTCTCTGTAAAAAATCAATAATATATGTATATATTTTTTTAAAGTAAAACAAAACAAACAATTGCTCATTTAAATTTGATCTACACCGGCCCCACCCCCTCTCCCAGGATCCTGTGTGCTGGAATCAGGAACCTCCGAAAGGCCTTGTGGCTCCCTGGGGTGGATGTGACAAGTCAGTGAGGAACCCAGGAAAGAGCCAGGCTGCGCGGAGAACTCAGTTCTAAAGGCCGCCCTTCACTGTGTCCCCACTTCTCAGGCCCAGCGCGCAAGCCCGGTATCATTTCCCCACTAACAGGGGAGACAGGGACCTGCCACGTGGAGGAGCCATGGAGCAGGGATCCCCACTCAGCAATTTGGACGCCAAGCCCCGGGCTCGGGAACCGCGGCCTCGTCAAACGTGTCCCCCAAAGGGGGCCACCGCCACCCGCCGCATCTCCAACCCACGGACCGCTAGCGAGCCCTCAGGGCGCGAGACTCAGCCACCGTCTGGGAGCAAAGGAGACCACGCGGGCGCTGCAATGACGACCTGCACGTGGACCAATCCCAAGGCTGTTACAAAGAGGAGGGGCGGGCTTATGCAAAACACATCCAGCAGGGAGCTCCTGGGATAGACAACAAAGAACTCTAATTAAGCCCGTTTCCCAAAGTTTGTTATTATTTTTAAGAAAGAGGATAATAGACACAAGGGTTTAAGAACTATGACGTGTTGAGGGCAATCTAATCGTTATGCCATAAAAGTCACCACAAGCGCAAAAGCTACAGGAACGGTAAGCCCGGCGCAGAGGCGAGGACGGAGGTATCGCTTCTCGGCCTTTTGGCTAAGATCAAGTGTAGTATCTGTTCTTATCAGTTTAATATCTGATACGTCCTCTATCCGAGGACAATATATTAAATGGATTTTTGAAACTGGGAGATGGAATAGGAGCTTGCTCCGTCCACTCCACGCATCGACCTGGTATTGCAGTACCTCCAGGAACGGTGCACCCCCTCGGGGGAACAATGGCGGTTTAAAAAAAGACTTAATTCACCTTCAAACAGGAAGTAGTGGGGTAAAAGCTTGCTTTCCGGTGTGTTCCTCCATATTCCTTACCCCACTTTCCCTGTTTCAGGAGGCAGGTTTCAGCCAGGCCGGTGTGACTTTGTGGGTTGGAGTATCGTCCCCAAGCAGAGGGCTCAGTCAGTTCTAAAGGCCAGTCCTTCCACTTCTGCTCAAGGCACAAGCAAGCCATGTTTCTCTCTCTCTCTCTTCTTCTAAAATCGATGAGAAATATATCCTCGCCCAAACCGGTTTGGCTAAATGGTTAGAGCTTCGGTCTGCGGACTGACTCTACCCTCTCCTTTCTTCCTCTCTGTAAAAAAACAATAGATTTGAAAAAAAAAAAAAAAAAAAAAAAATATATATATATATATATATATATATATATATATATATATATATATATTAAAAAATACATTCTCGGATGAGCGTTTTTTATTTTTACAGGAAAAAGATGGAAATTTATTGAGAAACAAACACAGATTCACACGTGGGGACGGGGAGAGAATCCCCGGGCAAGGATTTGTTAAAAGGCGGATTTCGCCCTGTCCGGTTTTGCTCAGGGGTTGGAGCATCGGCCTGCACGCTAAGAGCAGCGAGTTCTATTTCGGGTCAGGGGCGTGTACTTGGGTTCGGGTTAGATCCCAGGCCCCAGGGTGTGGGCAGAGGAGTCGCTAGGGAGGCAACAAATGGATGTGTCTCACATTAGGTTCTCTCTCTCTCTCTCTCTCACTGCCTTCCACTCTTATTAAAGCAATGGAAGAAATGTCTTCGGGTAAGGATTTTAAACAAAAATAAAGGCAGATTTCTAGATCTAATCCTAATAGCCTTAAAAACCCAGACGTCTCCCCCGACTTGACTTTACAAGGAGGAAGACCGCACAAATGAGGAATGGATGGATGCCTCCAAAAAAATAAAATAAAATAAATTAAGGTAAAGGGTTGTAGGGAAAGATGGAGTTTGTTCTGATAGATTCAATTCAGAGTAGAACTGTGTGCAAAGACGTCAACATCAGGTCCGGGCTGCGAAGGGCACCCAGAGTCCCGTTTCCTTGGTAATAAAGTAAATGTGGAATGTTGCGCTCAGCGTTCTTACTGGCAGCTCTGCAGCTGCGCTGACAAAGCTGCTTTTCCGTGGAAGACAATCTGCCAGGCAAGAGGGGGATGCTTTATTCTTACTGATATAACTTCACACAATAAGGTTTCTGAGAGTCCGTGATTTCAGAGATCAAGTAAGAAAACAGTCACTCGAAGAAGGGGGCCGTTATGGCATTGCAGCTTATCCTCGGGAGGAGTCCTGTTTCTATGAACTTTGCAGATTTTCACTCTGAGCTAGTTTTTACCATCCCCAAACCTTGATGTGAGGCCAATAAAAATGGCCTCCAATCTCCACCTTTCCCAAACAGAGATCTGGGTTAAGGTCGTCGGCTTCCTTGCCCCCGTCTTTCTTTATTTCGTGTCTTTTATACTCGAGTTTGAAATCACGCGTCGCCACAGTGATTTGCATCGTGTCTGCAACAGAAACAAACCAGCGCGGTGCTTGGGGAGGGGGGGTGCGGGAGGCGGCCTGGGGCTGGCTCGCCTGCGGCTCACGTAGGACGAGATCCGCTGCACGTGAAACCTGGCCAAGATGCTCTTCAGATCCTCACAAACGTCTCTATGTTTTCACTCCGCATTGCGAAGCCGGAGGGAGCGGGGGGGGGGAGGAGGGGGGCGGCTAACACGCTGCGGGCCCTTTAAACACTCGGAGGCCGCGCGCGCCGGATGCCACGCGACGCGTGCTGGTGACGTAACGCGGCGCCGGAAGTGCGGCCGTCTGCCGGCTCTGTCATGGCTGCCGCCGGGGCTCGCTGGAACCATGTGTGGGTCGGAACCGAGACCGGGATCCTGAAAGGTGGGTGGCTGGAGCTGGCGTTAGGAAGTGGGGGGGGGAGGGCGGCGCGGGATCGCCCGCTTGCGACCCGGGGTGGCTGACGCCCGCGTCCCGCAGGGGTGAACCTTCAGCGCAAACAGGCGGCCAACTTCACGGCGGCGGGGCAGCCGCGGCGCGAGGAGGCGGTGAGCGCCCTGTGCTGGGGCGCGGGCGGGGAGACCCAGGTGAGCGGCCGGGGCCGGGCCGGGGCCGGGGGACCGGGAGCCTCGCTCTCCTCGCCATCCTGCCCTCCTGCCCTCCTGCCCTCCTCTGCCCGCAGATCCTGATGGGCTGTGCCGACCGGACAGTGAGGCGCTTCTGCACCGAGGAGGGCAGGTTCCAGGGCCAGAGGCACTGCCCCGGCGGCGAGGGCACGTTCCGAGGCCTCGCCCAGGTTGACGGGTAAGACCGAACCCCTCGCTGAACGCTGAGGGAGAGCGCCGAGGCTCCCGCAGGACGGCCGAATAACGGCGATCAACCCTTAGGTGACTCGGACCTGGACTCGGTGACAGGGATGTGTGTCCTGCCTTTCGTTCATTCCTATAACAAGCGTTTATTGGACACCTGCCGAGTTACAGGCATTGAGCGGAGTGCAAGGGCTGCAGGTACACCAGACACGCACACAATACCTCCTGTTACACCGTTTGCATCCCCGAGGGATTCCCCCCCTCCGCCCCCCATTCCATAATTTTTGCGTGACCCTCGCAGGTCGTTTCGTAGTTTACTAGCAGAGGATGGCATTAAATGGGGACTGACAGCCGCTCAGTGTGACGAGGCTCCCACGGGAGAGGGGAGGAAAGCCCTGGTGGCAGTTACTGGCCTAGCTTTCTCCCTACACGAAGAGCGGAAGGTGTGGGCAGGCTGCGGGGTTTCATGGTGATAACTCTGACAGGTGAGGTCTAGGAGGCTCTGGGACGGGAGAAGTTGAAAGTAGGCCTTGGCCAAGACCGGTTTTGCTCAATGGATAGAGCGTCAGCTTGGGGACTGAAGGGTCCCGGGTTCGATTCCGGTCAAGGGCATGTACCTTGGTTGTGGGCATATCCCCAGTAGGGGGTGTGCATATCCCCAGTAGGGGGTGTGCAAGAGGCAGCTGATGGATGACTCTCTCATCGATGTTTCTAACTCTCTCTCCCTTCCTCTCTGTACAAAATCAATAAAATATATTTTAAAAAAAGAAAAAAGAAAGTAGGCCTTGAAGGGTTGGTAAAGTTTTGACAGGTGGGGAAAGGGGTGAGGGCATTTTGGAAAGCAGCTAAGCCTGGGCAGAGGCCACAGGGTACCTTTCAGGGAAGATAAGTTGAATGACTGATCCTGACCCCTGGTGACCGAAGAAAGATGCAGAGAGACTGCAGGGCCGGGTGCCCCTCCATGTAGCTGCGGGTGACAAAGGCGCTTTGCTTGGGGGAATCACAGGCTTGACTTCTGGTTCTGACATTTGCTGAGCGGGCAAACCTTTGAATTGCTCAGAGCCTCCGTTTCTTCACTTATAAAACCTCACTCTGTCAAGGAAGTGAAATACTATTCTAGTACACTGAAGCCAAAAACTGTCCAGACCCACCTTACCTGGAGGCTTTCTTAGGAAGAGGGCTGGTTAGAGTCTAGTTAATGGAGTGGCGGTCAACTGGGACTTAGAGAATATTTTCACACTTTTTTTTTTTTTTAAACCTTCCTCTCCCTGCAGCACCCTCATCACCTGTGTGGATTCTGGGATTCTCCGAGTCTGGCGTGACAATGACAAGGAGACGTCCTCTGACCCAGTGAGGCTCCCTGCCCTGACCCTCTTGATTGGGGGGTGAGGGGGAGAGAGCCAGGGGAGGAGTGGAATAAGGGCTTTGGGGGAGGGAGGATGCCTAGGGATTCAGGAACGGACTCCCATTTCCCCTCTCATCTCTCATTTTTTTCAGCTCCTGGAACTGAGAGTGGGCCCCGGGGTGTGTAGGATGCGCCAAGACCCAGCGCACCCCCATGTAGTTGCCACAGGGGGGAAGGAGAATGCTCTGAAGGTGTGGGACCTGCAGGGGTCTGAGGAGCCTGTGTTCAGAGCCAAGAACGTGAGTGGCGGGTAGGGAGTCTGCGGTCCAGGGAGGCTGTGCCACTGACCATGAGTCAGAGACCAGATGGGCTTTAGGGGATGACCGGAGGGCTATAGGAAGGGGCACACTAGCTCCCCACAACCTGTCCCCCATTGACCCACTCCACCAGGTACGGAATGACTGGCTTGACCTGCGAGTTCCCATCTGGGACCAGGACATACAGTTCCTCCCTGAGTCACAGAAGCTCGTCACCTGTACAGGGTACCACCAGGTGAGGTACCCCCCACCCTTACCTGCTACTGGGCTTAAGCAGCCTCCTAAAGACACAGCCCCCTGCAGACGGGGCCCCTGTCCTCTGTCACAGCCCTCCTCCTGCCCTCCCATCCCTGAGCCCTCTGAGGAGCACTCCTTTGTCCATTTCAGCCCGTAGCCTTCTCTTACTGTGCTCCAGGATGGAGTTTGCTGAACGATGACTCTTCATGTTCCTCCATCTGAAAGAGAGGAGAGGAAGGGAGGAGGGAGTATTTCCTTCACAGGGTGCCGGTGTCACGAGAGGACATTGGCCTGCATGTCAAGAGATCCGGGTTTCTGGCCCTGATGCGGCCTCTGACTTGCTCAGGACCCAGGCTTGCCTCTCCTCTGGCCTCAGCCCCTCAGCGCCACAGGAATGGCCCAGCTGGGGATCCTTAGCCCTGCCCCAGGCGGGCTGGGTCCCTGGCTTGCTGTTTCCTTTGCTCTGCACACTGAAGTCTGATCTTGGTGTTATGCTTCTGTTGCAAACACACTTGAAGACTTCCTCTGTCCTCCCTTGTTCAGGCTAAACCTCTTGGCTTGATATTCAGGACCCGCTGACAATGGCACTGCCCTGCTTTCCATGCCAGGTGGGGGGTCTGCGGGGAGGGGCTGGTCACACGTGAAGACCAGGGATGCTGCCACTTCCCGACCTGGGGGATCACTCCCCTCGGCCCTGTCTGTTTATGCTGCTAAGCAGTTCTCCCCCACCCCCAACACTCAGAGAAGAAGGCTACATTCCAAATGAAAGTTTCTCTAAGAGAGGCTCATAAACAGGAAAGCAGTATATGAAGGAGGGAGTGAAGATGTGGGGGTGTGGGCTGAGGGTACCCTTGTGATAGTTAAGTCTTCTTCCAGGTCCGTGTCTATGATCCAGCCTCCCCCCAACGCCGGCCAGTCCTAGAGGCCACCTATGGAGAGTACCCGCTGACAGCCATGACGCTCACTCCCGACGGCAAGTGAGTGTTTAGAGGGTGAGGAGGGGTCAGAAGGACTTAGGAGGCTCCTGCTGACCCCACCTGCTTCTGGTCTACTCTTCAGCTCGGTGATTGTCGGAAACACTCATGGGCAGCTGGCAGAAATTGACCTTCGGCAAGGTAGTGCACTGGGGAGCCTTGCGGGGGGGGGGGGGGGGGGCCGGGGGTTAGGATTCCCTCTAAGGCAGTACCTGGGGCGATTGAACCCTCATTTAGGTATCATTTTGGGTTCAAATCCTGATTTCAAAAGCTGTATGTGCCCGCCCTAACTGGTTTGGCTCAGTGGATAGAGCGCTGGCCTATGGACTGAAAGGTCCCAGGTTTGATTCCGGCCAAGGGCATGTACCTTGGTTGTGGGCACATCCTCTGTAGGGGGTGTGCAGGAGGCAGCTGGTTGATGTTCCTCTCTCATCGATCTTTCCAACTCTCTATCCCTCTCCCTTTCTCTCTGTAAAAAATGAGTAAAATATACTTAAAAAAAGAAAAAAAAGCTGGATGAGCTTGGACAAAGTACTTCACCTCTCTGTGCCTTAGTAGACCTGTAAAATGGATTTAATGCTGACTCCTATCTCAGCGATGAGGATTAGATCCCGAAGTGAAAAATGATTCCAACAGTCAATCCTCAGTTCTGGTGGTTTGGCTCCCCTTTCTCCAGGGCGCCTGCTGGGCTGTCTGAAGGGGCTGGCAGGCAGTGTCCGAGGGCTGCAGTGCCACCCTTCCAAGCCCCTCCTCGCCTCCTGTGGCCTGGACAGAATCCTGCGGGTGCACAGGATCCGGAACCCCCGGGGCCTGGAGCACAAGGTAAGAGCTGCTGTCTCCTGGGCCCCCCTCCTATTTCTGTGCATTCCATGGGTTTGACTCCTTAAGGTCCCTGGTCTCTTGCAGGTTTATCTGAAGTCTCAACTGAACTGCCTTCTTGTGTCAGGCCGGGAAAACTGGGAGGTGAGCAGTTGGGTCTGGGAAGAGCATAGATGTGAGAATTGGTTTCCCCTGGGGAGAAGGCAGCAGCTGGGACAGAGACCGGACCTGTCCCTCTCCCTGCCACATGACTTCCTGTCTGTGAGGAGTGTTGGTAGTCACAGTCTGACAGGGTTCCTGCCCGGAGTGACACGGGCCACGGACGGGGGTTGTTTCCCAGGGCGGGAAAGGGAAGTGTGGTACCTGGCAAGATCACTTCCCAGTGAGAGCCTCCTTCCCTGTGGGTCTCTTCCTGTGCCCCTGGCGCCTAAGCTTTCTCCACTCACTAGGATGAGCCGCAGGAGCCTCAAGAGCCCAGTCAGTTGTCCTCAGAAGACACAGAGGCAGATGAACTGTGGGCCTCTTTGGAGGCAGCTGCCAAGCGCAAGCTCCCTGATTTGGAACAGACATCGGGGGCCTTCCAAACCAGACGGAGAAAGAAGAAGCGGCCTGGCTCTACTAGCCCCTGAAGGGTCCGATCTCACTTTGTAAATAAACAGCTGACACCCATCGTGACCCCGCGCCTGCGCCTTTTGTGATGGGAGAAATGAAAGGGGTGGCTGCTCCCGGAGCTGGGGCGGCGGGATATCTGACGTCACAAAAGCTGGCGGGGCCGGGTGGGCTGGAGTGGTGGCGCCCAGTGCCGGGCGTTCCGGGCCCTAGCGGGCCATGGGCTGCTGCCAAGACAAGGACATGCCAACCTCCGGTGGGAAGCCCAAGGAGGTCGGATCGGAGGAAGTCGAGGAAGGTGGGAACAGAAACAAAGCTGGGGTGTCCAGGGAACGGGGGAGGGGTCAGGGTCGGAAGGGGGGAGGGGGGAGGAGTTCAGCGGCCGCTTCATCCTCGCAGACACCACCGAGGAGGTCGATGTGAACTCGCCGGACCACCGGAATCCCAAGTCTAACGAAAGCCTTTTGATCACCGTGCTGTGGCGGCGGCTATCCTTGTTCAGCCGTCGGGGCTCACGGTCAAACAAGAGGCAGTCAATCAAGCATGGGTGTACGTTCCAGGAGAACAACCCGGAGGAAATACGGGAGGAGCCGGAGAAGGGATGACCCCAGCCCGGCTCTCAGTCCTCCCCAGCTTCCAGAGAATAAAGTTTCTAATGTGTACTAGCCAGAGCGCTTGTGCCTCTGCGGCCCCTCTGCCCGCACCACCCGGGCTGCGGTCTCTTTAAGGCAGGTCCTCCCCAGGGGTTGGCCCAACCCAATGAGCCCCCTGCTCTAGTTCCTAGGGGCGGGGTCACAGCAGCGGCCTGGCCAATGGGAGAGCGGAGTCGTTCTTGTAGTTGGGCGGGGGGCGTGTCCCTCGGGTTGCCGGGCTCGAATAAGCGCGTGCCGCCCTCTGGTCACCGGAGGTGGGGCTACGTGTGGGTGACGTGGCGGCTTCTAGTCTTCGGTCGAGTTTCGGAGGCTTCCGCGCCCGGGGAGTAGGCGGTGACGACCCAGGAGATTGTGGCAGCGGCGGCGGCAGGCGGCGGGGCGGAGGTAGGACTTGCTCTAAGAGTGGTCTGGCCGCCGTGTCAGCTCGGGGCCGTGGCTTTCTGAGGGCGATGACGATGGGGGGCCGGGGGGGTTGGGAGGAAACCAGGGGCGAGAGGACTAGTCTTGCCGGCCGGACTCCGGGTGAGCGAATACCTCGGTGTCCAATCAGGAAAGCCTCTGTTAAGAAAGACGTCGGCGTTAGCTAATCGTTAGTTGCAGTTCCCCTGGAAGGCGGAGCTTGAGTGGGGGTGGGACTTCCTGTTTCAAATAAACACCCAGAGATTTCTCCCCCTCCGCCCACCGGAGTGTGTCCCCCCCTCCGGAGGTCCGTTACCCTTCCTCCCTGAGGCGGGGACCCCGTGGACCCCGGAAGGCCCAGGGAGGGCCTGGGGCAGTTGCACAGGCCGAGCTGGGGCTTCGGGGCCGCGGGTCCTGCCTTTGGCCCTGTCTCTGCTTCGCGGCCCCTGGCCCGCGCCCCGGCGGCCCGAGCCAAGTTGGAAGAAGCGTGAGGAGGGGAGCGGCTTAGGCCGGAGAGGAAGTGGGGCCCCGCCTGTTGCTGGCCGGCCCCGGGATCTGCGCTTGGCTCCGGGGCACAAGAATCTGCTGGCTAGGGGGGGATCTCTGGGGAAGAGGCCTGGGAATGACACTCTCCCCTCCACAACAGTCCGAGGTTATGCGTCTCAATGATCCCGCGGAAACGCTACGGGACTAAGAACACGGATCAGGGTGTCTACCTGGGTCTCTCGAAGACACAGGTCCTGTCCCCTGCAACTGCTGGCAGTAGCAGCAGCAGCGACATCGCCCCTCCGCCCCCCCCAGTGGCCCTGGTCCCTCCCCCTCCCGACACCATGTCCTGCCGGGATCGGACCCAGGAGTTCCTGTCTGCCTGTAAATTCCTGCAGAGCCGCCAGGTAAGAACCAGGAGTGGGAAAGAGAGGCAGGGCTGAGCTCTGCTGGGAGCTGGGAGAGGCGGCTCCCAGCACTGCTGGTCGGGGGCATTCTTGCGGGAACCTGATGGAGAACTGACCAGGCGAGGAGGGGGCGGTGGGATCCATGAAGAGGCTTTGTCCTGGGAGGGACCTAGAGGGGAGGGCTGCTGGTCCTGAAGGAATATCTTGGGATGAGAGATGGCTACGATATAGTGGGTTTGGATAAGGAACAGGTTCTAGAAAGAGCCTTTAGCCCAGAGACAGCCACTTTGAATCCTAGTTCTGCCACAAGTTTGCTCTGTTTCTGTATCTGTAAACTGAAGGAAGTTTTCTAAAGGAGTAACTTTTATCAAAACCACTTTGGAGTGCTTTTTAAACAGTTGCATTCCCTTGTCTTGGTCCGGACTGTGAATGTAGGTGGGACCTGAGTGACTGTCATTTCACATACCCTCACTGCTCAGCACTCGTTAACACCTGCTCTCCTACATGCTCTCCAAGAGCTTCGCAGTCACCCTCTTGGATGCCCAGGTGGGAAGACTAGAACCGCAACATGAGCTATTTCTTTAGTCGTTACAGTGTACCAGCTATTTCGCTGAAACACTTTTACAGCCCTGTGCCCTTTCATCTTAGCGACAACAGTAAAGGGGTGCGTGGATGGTTTTCGTTTTATAGGAGAGGAAGTACAGATTCAGGATGGATTAAGTAACTTGCCCCAAACACCCCAGCTACTCAGTGATGGAATCAAGATTTGAACCCGGGTCTCTTTGTCTTCAAATCTGGGCTCTCTCATCTACTACTACCGCTACCACCACCACTACTACTACTATTACCGCCACTACTACTAACAGCTAGCCCCTCTGGTGGAGAATACCATCGTCCTAGAGAGAGTTTAGTGGACAGCTGAGCACAGTGAGAGCTGGTGATGGGGGAGGGGGCCTCAAGCTTCACCTCTCGACCTTGCCTTTCAGAATGGGATTCAGACAAACAAACCAGCTCTCCGTGCTGTCCGGCAGCGCAGTGAATTCTCCCTCATGGCCAAGTGAGTTAGAGAAGTGGAGTGGGCTGACGCCGCGTCCGAGGAGGAGCAGGCCGGCCTGGTGGCCTTGGCCGTGAGGGCTGGAACGGGTTGTGCTGGAGCTGATGGGGGAACAGGCTCTCTCCGGCTCCTTCCCACGGTGTTCTCCCTGATGCTTGCTTGCAGGCGCATTGGGAAAGACCTCAGCAACACATTTGCCAAGCTGGAGAAGCTGACAATCTGTGAGCGTTCTGGGGGGGTGTCAGGGATGGGGCAGGGGACCAGAGAGGGTGGGGGAACCGTGCTCCCCGAGTCTTCTCTTTGACGTCACCCGTCCTGGCTTCTTCATCTCCGCAGTGGCAAAGCGCAAGTCCCTCTTCGATGATAAAGCAGTGGAGATAGAGGAGCTGACTTACATCATCAAGCAGGTGAGCGACGAGCGATCGCGAGAGCCCAGTCAGGTCACTGCCGTCCTTTTCCATTGCCATGGAGCCCCAAGCAAGTTTCTGGAGTTAGCCCCAAACTTCTTGCTCATCCATTGAGTCTCTAGATATCGTTTTATGACCTACCGTGTACAAAGCACTGCGCTCCCAAACATGAGACAAGATTCTGCCTTCAAGGGTCTAGAAGAGTCCCAGCCCCAGAACATGCGTAGAGATGAGTGTATAGGAAACATTTTACAAAAAGGTGAATGAAAGGGAGGTATCCGTTACACTTTCAACAATAAAGATTTTAAAAAATGAATGAAATAGTCTGGAACACGGGGAAAGATTTTTTTAGAGGAGGTCAAATCTGAGCTAGTTTTAAAGCTTGTATAGAGCCAGTGAAGAAAATTCCAGACAGAGAAAACTGAGGGCAGAGGTATGGCTCTTAAAAGGGAACGTTCAGGTCTTTGCTCAGATGTCACCTGCTCAGGAGGCCTAGCCTGATTGTGCTGTTTAATACATCCAGCACCCAATGCTCTGATCTCCCTTCCCTGCTCTGTTCTTTGTTTGTGTTTATTTATTTAGTCCCTAGAGGCCCGATGCAGCAGTAGGCCTTCCTTCCTGGGGCTGCGGGCACCCGGACCCGGGCTTCCCTTGCAGCCCCACCTTCATCGCGAAGGATGTCCGGTCTAATTAGCATATTACGCTTTTATTATTATAGATTACTTTTTTAATTGATTGATTTTAGTGAGGAAAGGGGAGAGAAATTTTGATTTGTTCCACTTATTTATGCATCATTGGTTGATTCTTGTATGTGCCCTGACCGGGGATCAGACCCACAACCTTGGTCTATGAGGGTGATGCTCTAACCCAGTGGTCGGCAAACTCATTAGTCAATAGAGTGGCAAAACCTCGGCTCACGAGCCGCATGGGGCCGTGGTTTGCCGACCACTGCTCTAACCAACTGAGCTGCCCGGCCAGGGCTGTTTTCTTTTTGATAGCACTCAATCATTTCAGTGTTTCATATAATTAGCTCATTGTGTTTATTGTTTGTCTTTGTTCTCTCCCAACTATCTCATTTCCCTCACAAATGAAAAAAACAAAAAAGGGAAGTGCCCCAAGAGCGGAGCTTTTTCCTTTCTGCTTGTTCACGGAAGAACCCCAAATGCCTGGGGCAGTGTCTGGCATTTGGTAGGTCCTCGGTACTTGTTGACCGAATGAGTCATTGGCAGGAGATGGATGAGGCCTTAAAGGTAGAGGGCTGGGTGGCTGCTGTGAAGCCCCTTGTGGACCTTTTTAAGGAGTATGGACCCACTCTGAACGCCATGGCTGCTGATGATTAGAACCTGGACCCCAGTTCCGTCTGAGACACTGGTGATTCCTCGCTTTCCCAGCACACTGTAATAAGATTGAACTGGGAGGCTGAAGGGCCGTGGAAGGAGGGGACAAAACACTGGAGCCTGGGTGGGCAGGGAGGCTCGGAAAGACCCAGGGCAGAGGTGCTTCTGGCAGAGGCCAACGGGCAGACACACTCAAGAGCTGCTGTGCTTGGTAGAAAAGGGGTTCCACTAACTATTGCAGTGTTACGGCGTAGCCACACAAGAACCACAACAGGCTTCAGGCAGACTTGAGTTCAAATCCCAAGCCCGGGATTTGAACTTTGTTCTCTTGGGAGAAAACAAAGACCTAAGCACCTAACTGCTCTGAGCTTCAGTTCCCTCAGAAATAAAGGAGCTGGTAACAGTACCTGCCTCTTCGCATGGGTGTCAGGATCCCCTCGTTTATTTCCAGTCACTCACATTATTGAGTGCATTTGCTGCCCGGTTCTGGGGATTGGGCAGTGAACAGGACATGTGTGGTTCCTGTGTTTGGGGAATTCCTTTCTAAATGGGTAAACCAGGCACTATACCAGTAAACAGAAAAGGCAATTCCAGGCAATGGTAAAATTTTTAATAAGAAATAATGTAAGCCCAGCTGGTGTGGCTCAGTGGTTGAGTGTTGACCTATGAACCAAGAAGTCATGGTTCAATTCCTGGTCAGGGTGCATGCCTGGATCCCCAGTGGCAGGTGTGCAGAAGGCAGCCTATCAATGATTCGCTCTCATCTTTGATGTTTCTGTGTCTCTCTTCCTCTCTCTTCTTCTCTGAAATCAATAATATATATTATATATATATATATATAATATATATTATATGTAAATCAATAATATATATTATATTATATACACACACACACACACACACACATATATACACACACACACACACACACACACACACACACACACACATATATATAACAAGAAAGAAATAACGTAAATGGGTTACTCAGGGCAGGGGCCTGCTTTAGATGGGGTGATGCAGGATGGGGGTAAACAAGTGACTCAGACCTGAATGTTTAGGGAAAGGCCATTCATCCAAGATAGGGTGGGAGCACTTCTAGAAGGTGAGGAAAGCAAAGGAAGAGCTTCTAAAGTGTGAGCGACTCTGGTAAACGAGAGAGGCTAGTGGGATTGCAGCATAGAGTGTGAAGGAGACTGGGAGGGGTGAGATCAGAAAGTGGGGGGGGGGCAGACCGTGTAGCACCTGTGCACGCCCCGCAGGGTTAGGGTTGGGGGTTAAACGTAGTGGGAGGATTGTAAGCAGAGGGCTGTGTGTCCCACTTCGGGCTGAAAAGACCACGCGGGTTGCTGCGTGGAAAGGGGTTGTGGCGGCACAGCCCCAGGAGGAAGGCCACGTAGGCGGCCATGGAGCTTTTTAGGGAACAGACGGTTGGGCGAGGATGGGCTCCGTAGAGGTGAGTGGGCAGTTTCAGCTGGTTCTTTGGCTTCTTTCTAGCTCCATGTGGGTTAAGAGAAAGCGTTGAGGATGGCTCTAAGTTTTTGGTCTGAACAGCCATTTACCAAAATGGCTGCCTTGTAATGCCAGTAGCTCTCACTGGCTGACACTGCTTTTCTGTTGGCTCTTTCACCAGGATATCAACAGCCTCAACAAGCAGATCGCCCAGCTCCAGGACTTTGTGAGGGCCAAGGGCAGCCAGAGTGGCCGGCACCTGCAAACCCATTCCAACACCATAGTGGTCTCCCTGCAGGTGAGACCTGGGGGCGGGAGCCGGGGAGACGAGAGGCAAGAAGGTCTTGTCTTCGTTTGCTGACGCTTTCTCTTTCTCTTCCAGTCGAAGCTGGCTTCCATGTCTAACGACTTCAAATCCGTTTTAGAAGTAAGGACAGAGGTGAGTAGCATCTGTGGGGGAGGGATAGGAGTCGGGGGATAAGATCCAAGAGGGAAATGGGAGAGATAGGTGGGAGGCAAGGGAAGAGGGACAGGGCCATGGGCCCACAGGAAGGGGCCTAGCATAGCTGCCTCCAGAAGCCTCAGACCTTTGCGTTTCTCCCCCAAACCCAGAACCTGAAGCAGCAGCGGAACCGGCGGGAGCAGTTCTCCCGAGCGCCCGTGTCAGCCCTGCCCCTGGCCCCCAACCACCTGGGTAAGTCAGGCCATCCGGGGAGTCCAGAGGGGGACAGCCTGGTACTCTGGTTGTGATGGCATCTTCTAAGGGCGGGTTGAGTAAGAGAATACAGGGAGGTTGCTAAGCTTTCTCTCTCAGAGGTCAACATAATTGATGGTATTCCAGATCCACACGTGGCTTCCACGTTCTCACTGTTCGGGATGAAATCAGTCACGTTCAGAAGAACCGTTACTAATATTTTTTGTGCGTTCACTTTTTTTTTTTTTTAAATATATTTTATTGATTTTGTACAGAGAGGAAGGGAGAGAGATACAGAGTTAGAAACATCGATGAGAGTCATCGATCAGCTGCCTCTTGCACACCCCCCCAAGGGGGATATGCCCGCAACCAAGGTACATGCCCTTGACCGGAATCGAACTCGGGACCCTTCAGTCCCCAAGCCGACGCTCTATCCATTGAGCCGACGCTCTATCCATTGAGCCAAACCGGTCCCGGCTTGTGCGTTCACTTTATTTACTTTATTAAATGACTTGTCCAGGGTTATAAGTGGGATTCAAATCGAGAGCATACGGGCTTTGAAGCTGCTTTTAACAAATAAAATACCATGTCAAGAACACACACACCATGTCTTCTTCCTTCAGGAGGAGGTGCCGTGGTTTTGGGGTCAGAGTCCCGTGCCTCCGGGGACGTGGCCATCAACATGATGGACTCTCGGACCAGCCAGCAGCTGCAGCTCATTGACGAGCAGGTACATGGTTCTTTCTGAGCTGGGGGAGCTGCCCCAGTGTTCTCCGGGGGCCACAGCGAGTGTCGGGAAGGTGCCATGTGAAGCGGAAGCTGGGAGGGTTCTCGGGAGGCAGGCTCTGCCTGAGGAGCTCCCAGTGCTCAGGTTCTCTCTGCTCCGCAGGATTCCTACATCCAGAGCCGCGCGGACACCATGCAGAACATCGAGTCCACCATTGTTGAGCTGGGCTCCATCTTTCAGCAGTTGGCACACATGGTTAAGGAACAGGAAGAAACCATTCAGAGGTGAGACTCTCTCTTTCTCACCCTAGACAGAAGAGCTTTTCCTCCCTGCGGGTGGTGAGTATCCTAACGGTCCCCAGGGTCAGCCGTTGGGAGAGGAGGGTCCTGCCCACCCCAGACACGGCTCACGGCTTCCGTGGACTACATAGTGTTGGGGCACCTGTTCCCTGCCAGGTGCAGGGCACGGCAATGAAGAGAAAAGCAAAGCCTCTCTTTCTGGAGCTTAACTTTTGTGTGTGTGTGTGTGTGTGTGTGTGTGTGTGTGTAAGGTATCACACCTGCTGAAGAGATTGGTAAGTCATTTCAGACAGCGAAAGCAGTTACAGAGGTAAAGCAGGTGAGGTGTTAAGAGAGTGGCTGGCCAGAAGGTATATCAGATTGGGTGGCAGAAAGGGCCATTCTGAAGACCACGGTGTTGGTTAAGGCAGAGACCCATGCAAAGAGAGAAAAAAGAGTGTTGTAGGCAGTGTGGACAGCTGAGGCTCTAAGATGGGACGCTCTCGCTGTATTCAAGAATCCCAAGACCAGCATGGCCAGAAAGTAATGAGCAGGGCCGGAGAGGGACAGGGTGAGGTGGAGGGAGGGGGGCAGAGCCCACCATGGGAGGGCCTCTCTGCTCCTCTGGTGCCATTTAAACCTTCAGTCCCAGGCAGATACTCCATCCACTGAGCCAAACCAGCTGGGGCTGTAAGAGGCAGTTTATCAGCTCTTCCTCTTTGGTACTTAACTATTCATTCAACCGGTTACAGCAGCAATTTCAACCCGTGTGCAGCAAGAATTTTTAAAATACACAATATCTGACTATTTAGTGAGGGACACGGACCTTTCTTCCCCTTAGATTGTCAAATAAAAAAAATGAACCGAAGTCGGTTTGGCTCAGTGGATAGAGCATCGGTCTGCGAACTGAAAGGTCCTGGGTTCGATTCCAGTCAAGGGCATGTATCTTGGTTGCCGGCACATCCCTGGTAGGGGGTGTGCAAAGGCAGCTGATCGATGATTCTCTCATTGATGTTTCTAGCTATCCCTCTCTCTTCCTCTCTGTAAAAAATCAATAAAAATATATATTAAAAAAAATGACAACAGAGCTCTGGCCAGTGTGCTCAGTGGATAGAGCATCAGCCCACCTACCAAAGGGTTGTGGATTGGATTCTCAGTCAAGGGCAGGTCAAGGACATATACCTGGGTTGCAGATTTGATTCCTGGCCCCATTGGGGGCTGGTGCAAGAGGCAACCAATCAATGTGTCTCTCACATGGCTAAAAAGCAATGGAGAAAAGTCTTCAGGTGAAGATTTAAAAAAAAAAAAAAAAAAAAAAAAAGACAACAGCCAACACAACAATAGCCTGCTCATGTGAATGAATCAAAATTATTTTTTTGTCATATTGGCAAAAATCTACATTTTTTTAGTAGTTACATGTGCTGTGAGATGAAAAAGGTTGAAAATCACTGGGTTATAGAGATATAGGTACAGCCTTGGACAAAAGAGATAAACAGTCCAGAACTTAAAGCTTAGTAGGGGAGATTTATTATTAAAATTACACATACGGCCCGGCTGGTGTTGCTCAGTGTTTGAGCGTTGACCTATGAACCAGAAGGTCACAGTTTGATTCCTAGTCAGGGTACATGCCCAGATTGCAGGCTTATGGGTAATTTTCTCTCATCATTGATATTTCTATCTCTCTCCCCCTCTTTCTTCCTCTCTGAAATCAATAAAACTATCTTTTTAAAAATATGTATTTAAAATTTAATGAAAGGGGGGGAAATAGTCTTTTATATTTACTCATGTTTTTACCATTTCCAATGTTCTTCATTCCTTCCTGAATACCCACTTTCAATCTGGTATCACTTTCCTTTAATCTGAAGGACTTCAGCATTTTTTTGTTTTTTGTTCATCCTTACCGGAGGATATTTTAGAGAGAGTAGAAGAAAAAGGGAAAGACAGAGAGAAACACTGATGTGAGAAAAACACATCGATTGGTTTCCTCCTACATGCACCCTGACCAGGGTCTGGGCCAGGGCAGAGCCTGCAACCAAGGTACGTGCCCTTGACCAACCTGAGACCCTTTGGTCCACAGTCCAACTCTCTATCCAGAATGACTAGGGCAGAAACTCAGCATTTTTTGTAGTGCAGATCTGCTAACAAGTTCTTTTACTTTTCTTTTATTTGAAAATATCTCTATTTCACTTTCTTTTTTTATTTTTGTATTGATTTTAGAGAAAGAGGAAGAGAGAGAGAGAAAGGAGAGAGAAACATCCATGTGAAAGAGAAACGTCAATCAGCTGCCTCCTGCATGTACCTTGACCAGTGTCTGAACCCAAAATCCGAGCATATGTCCTCACCAGTATACAAACCGGAGACCCTTCAGTGCACAGGATGGCACTAAACCAACTGCACCACACCAGCCAGGGACTTCATTCTTTAAAAAAATGTTAAAAAACACAAATAGAAAGCAAAAAAAAAAAATGTTAAAAAATTTTTAAGTGATAGTTTACATTCAATATTATTTTATATCAGTTTCAGTTGTATAGCACAGTTATCACCTTCATTTTTTTTATTTTTAATTTTTATTTCTTATTGGTTTCAGAGAGGAAGGGAGAGAGAGATAGAAACACCAAAGATGAGCCAGGACTGGTTTGGCTTAGTGGATAGAGCGTCGGCCTGTGGACTGAAGGGTCCCAGGTTCGATTCTGGTCAAGGGCATGTACCTTGGTTGCGGGCACATCCCCAGTGGGGGGTGCGGGGGGCGGCTGGTCGATGTTTCTCTCTCCTCGACGTTTCTAGCTCTCTGTCCCTCTCAATTCCTCTCTGTGTAAAATCAATAAAATATATTTTAAAAAAAGAAACACCAAAGATGAGAATTATGGATTGGCTGCCTCCTGCATACTCCACACTGGGGATTGAACCCACACCCAGATATGTGCCCTAACTGGGAATCAACCCATGACCTCCTGATTCATAGGTCAACACTCAACTACTGAGCCAGCAGTAAGACATTCTTTTGTCCTCCTCCCCATATAAACTTTTTCTTTTCCATTTTCCTTAGCCCTCCTTCCCAGGCCATTATTTTTTGCTCCATTCATTTTTGTTTTATAACTCCCTTGCTATTTGTAGTTTTTTGGTTTTGTTTTTTACCACCCATGTTCCCTTTTGTTAGTTTCATTCATGGACTTCCATTTTAAATCTTATTATGCCATATTGCATTTACTATTTTTTAGTATATTGCATTTACTATTTTTCCATTTTTGTTAAAGCCAGTTGATTGAATTGATTGAATACTAGTGATCCAGTGTACAGATTCGTACACATTGAAAGGAAATAAATTAGAAGGTAGCAAGATGGGCCGGACATACCCTGGAGCCAGCCTCCTGTGGTCCCTTTCCAGCATCTGCAGAGTGAGCAGGGTCCCTTCAGCAAGTGGGGTCCCTCGGCTTGGCCTATTGGGATCAGCCTGAAACTGGCTCTCCAACATCCCCTGAGGGGTCCCAGAGTGTGAGAGGGCACTCTGCAAAGTTGCTGTTGGACAGGATGTGGAACGCAAACACAAGTGTGCAGTAAACTGGATTGGGGTACCACAGTGCCCCAGCAACATTACCCACAGCTGAAGGTGAGGGATTGGGCTCCCTCCTGTCCGGATTCTAGGTGTGTCACCCGGGAACCATTACTGCCAAGTCACTGCAGCTCAACAGCTCCTGCGTTGAGCTTCTACCCCCTGGTGGTCAGTGCACATCATAGCGACCAGTCAGACACTAAGCATGTTAGCTTTTTATATATATAGATGAGATGACAGATGCATCCACACTGAGAAATGTAATTATAGCCAAAAGCTACAAAACCTGATATTTTAGTTAGCCTCTCTGACGTAGATGGGAAATCAAGTACAATCCAGGCTCCTATACTTGGACAGAGATTAGCTCACAGTTCTTATGACACAGGATCTTGGGCTTGCAGCCACAGCTTAGCTTTTCCTCTCAATCTCCAGCTGGAGTGCCTGCTCCGCAGACTTCTCTATCTTCACAACTTGGGAAAGTATCTGCTCCAGAGCCTCCCTTTGCAAAGGCCAGGATTGTGTTTGCCTTTCAGGATTGCACATGCAGGCCGGCTGGGAAATGTTTCCTTTCCCCCAGCAATCTCAAGAAATTGCCCTTTCTCTATATTCTGGCGAGACATGGTCTCCTAATGTGGGCTTTCTTACTCCCTGACTTCCTGTTCATATGATTAAGTTTCTCTTTCTGTTTTATTTAGAACCAGGATTTCCTGACTGGAATGGCCTGTGAACTTTTGTTGTTTTTTTTTTTTTAATTTTATTGGGTTCAGAGAGGAAGGGAGAGAGAGAAACATCAATGATGAGAAAGAATCATTGATTGGCTGCCTCTTGCACGCCCCACACTGGGGATCAAACCCACAATTCAGTCACGTGTCCTGATCAGGAATCGAACTGTGACCTCCTCGTTCAAAGGTTGATGCTCAACCACTGAGCCTGGCCAGACCCCAGAGCTTTTTCTACGCTCACACATGCTCGCGCACACGCACACAAATGGGATCATACTGCATATAAACACTTTGTTTCAAATTATAAGACAAAGTTTATTTGGAAAATTACAAGCGTGTCTTTCCCTTCCGGGAACAGCCGGAAGGGAAAGACAAGCTTAACCATTTTTACTCCTACGCACGGTGACCATCTTTCCACATCACTAACTATGCTTCAGTGGCAGCTTTCTAACCAGTGTCCCGTGTCCTCTCCTCCCTGCCTGTCTCCAGGATCGATGAGAACGTGATGGGAGCCCAGCTGGACGTCGAGGGCGCCCATTCCGAGATCCTCAAGTACTTTCAGTCAGTTACCTCCAACCGGTGGCTCATGGTCAAAATCTTCCTCATCCTCATTGTCTTCTTCATCATCTTTGTGGTCTTCTTTGCCTGAACCTTCTCCGCTCGGAGGCACTCCGTGGGGGTTTGGAACCCACCTGGGAGGGCAGGTGGCCAGTGCTGCCACTGAGCCTGTGCAGGGTGCTTGGGAGAAAGGCCCTGTTTTCCTGGAACTGCTGAGGATGGCCACTGCCCCCGGTCCCCCACCCCTCGCCTCTAGCCGGCCACCCTGTCCTCCCCTCGCCACCCCCGGGCCCTGAAACACGGCCTGGGTTTGGTTTCTGCTGTGAAATGGCTGGAAAGGACCAGTGGCCACCTGGCGCCAGTGGAGGAGGTGGTCTCCACTCGGAGATTTTATAAACCCTCCCGGCCTCTCCCACAGGGAGCTGGCAGCAAGGGTAGAGGACGCCCTTCCTCACATCCCGAGAGTGAGGAGAGGAAGCGACACTGCCCCGGGACCAACTTTCCCATCTGGGTTAAAATCTGACCTCCTCCTTCCTCTCTTCACTATGTGAGGCAGGGGCCCTGAGCACCTCAGCTGCCCGCACAACCCCGACTTTGGCTGCTGGTGACTCAGTCTGCCAAATGAGCTGCAGCTGTTTTCTCCCAATTACAGCAAGACTGACAGCCTCACTAGCCATGTCGTCATTTCTGGGTGGGAGCGTCGAGGGGGCCTAGGCAACACCCAGTTCAAGAGCTGAAAGGGTTGGCCGATGGCTCTGAGGGGCCAGGCTTCAGGCTGTTGCACAGTGCCCTCCAGGCAGGAGAAGCAAGTACCGCAGCACTTCGTTAGCCTGGCAACTTCCCTTCGAAGGGGCAGGCAGGACCTCGGTGCATTCCTGATTGGTGGCAACTTCCAGGACCATCTCCAGCAGTTTTCGGATCTGTTTCATCTGCATCTAACTGGTTGGTCCCAGTTTTTCCTTGAGCTGGATGAAGCAGGAGCTCTGCTGCCAAGAGTGAAAGGTGAAGTGAAGAACTCATTCCCAGCTCCAGCTGAGGCTCTTGGTTCCCTCCAAGCCTCTCACCCAGCCGTCACAGGAGAAGGAGACCAGCCTGGAATACCCATCTTCCAAGGAGGTTAATATGCTCTGTCATTCCTGACCAGGACCCACAAACACATCATTATGAGGTCATTGGAGTCCTCTCATCGCAACACGAGGGAAACTCAAGCTGTAGAGACAACAGTCCCCATACACTGGCTTGGCCCTAATACTTTGGGGGGACTAGGGAAGCCCATGCCTTTTCTAGCACTGGCATTTTAATATTTCCTCTCCCCTGGGCCTCTGTTCAGCAGGTGGTCTTGTTAGACTCGTCAATACCCGTTGACATACCTGTGAGCTGGCAAAGCACATCTGTGGTAGATGGGGAGGTTTTTGAAGATAATTGCTCACTAAAGCCTGACAAATCAATTGTTTGGCTCTGCAACACTTTATGGAGATTAGATTAGAAATTCATTTCACAAATATTTTGAATTCCTGCCATGTGCCAAGCATGGTAGTGAACCTGCTGCTAAGAAAAAATACAACACAAAAAACATGAATTAGCCAAGGGCCCTGCTCTTTTGGAGCTTCTGTTTAGTTTTCTACTTCTTGACAATCTAATATTTAATTTCAGGAAGGGAGAGGATGAGAAAAACATCTATGAGAGAATCATTGATTGGCTGCTTTGGGCAGGCCACACTGGGAATTGGGGCCACAAAGCATATGCCCAGACTGAAAATCAAACTGTGATCTCCTGGTTCATAGGTTGACGCTCAATCACAGAGCCACGCTGTCTGGGCTAATTTTTAGTGTTTTTACTGTTTTAAAGAGAAAAGAGGAAGGGAGGAGAAATGAGAAATATCGGGCCGCACACCCCTTGCTGGGAATCCAGCCGCAACCTGGGCATCCTAGGTGGATGCTCAACCACTGAGCCACAATGCCGGGTTTGATAGTCCAATTTATAGGCAAGAAAAGCGAAGTATAGATCCTCAGCTGGCAGAGGGCTGAGCTGAGACAAACACTGGCTGGGTTCCTCCAGGGATCTGTGAGCAGTCACTTGGATCTCCCTTTCCTCGGAAGCTCTTCGTGTGACCCCAGTTCCCTGTTCCTTTCGCGGGCCTGGGCTTCTCCAGCCTTCTCGCTGCTCCAGCGATTATCCAGGAGGTGCTGGCGTAGCAGCGGGCGGATAAAAGCAAAGAAGCCACCTTCCTGTGCTCAGCGCCCTCTCGTAAGAGGAAGGGCGTGCGGCGGAGGCCCCGCCCCCAGCGGCCGCCCCGCCCCCAGCGGCCGCCCCGCCCCCAGCGGCCGCCCCGCCCCCAGCGGCCGCCCCGCCCCCAGCGGCCGCCGGCAGTGCGCACGCGCGGGGGGCGGTGCTGCCGGCGGCACCACCCGCCATCTGGGTACGTCGACGGCGCGCCGCGCGCTTCGCCTCATAAATGCGGTGGCGCCGGGCGTAGGGGCGCTGCGACCCTCGATACCCGGCCATTCTGACGTCTGGGGGCGTCGCACCCGCGCCTCAGCCCGTCCTGCTCCGCGTTGTGCCATGGCGGACGGAGGGAAGTCCTACAGCGGTGAGTGCTGCCGGCTCAGAGTGCGGGGCGGGGCGCTCGGGCGGGTGGGCGGCGTCGGCCTAGGCCGCGGCCGGGGGCAGGAGGCCGCGAGGGGCCGCGGCCGCGGGGAACGGTGGCGGCGCGGGCCGGGGGCGAGGCGGCCCGGGCGGCCGGCGGGACTGAGTGCGGGGGCGGGTGGTTGGCTCGGGAATGCGGCGCGGCGAGCCCCGGGCCCCGGCGGCCGGCGGTGTGGGGACCAGTTCCTGTGAGCTCCGGGCAGAGCTTGTGGGCAGGGACCGTCCCGTCCGCTCGGCGGCCGGACTCTGTGAGTCAGGACCTGCTCCCTACCTGGGCCCCATCATCGGCCGCGTCCAGCCGGCCTGCCCACTCCTGCGGCTTCGACTCCGGCAAAAACCTTAGACAACACGCCGGCTAGACGCCCCGCCGGCCGGGCGTCCCCTGGCCGGGGTGGCCGGCGCCCCGCGTGGCTCCGCGGCCGGGCCGGCTCCGCCGCTCGCTGACAGCCCGGCTGCGGCCTGCGTCGGCTTCCCCGGAGCGGAGAGCTAAACTGGGGCCGCCTTTCCCACCCCTTCGCGCGGGGAACAGCCTGACCTCCCGAGTCTGTGCCGGCCGAGTGTGTGTGTGAGAGAGAGACAGAGAGACGGAGAGACAGAGACGCGGTGCACATCGCCTCTGGAGCATCCCAGCGCCGGCGCTGGGGAAGTTCTCAGCCGGCCTGCTGATCGCTCGCTCTTTTTTCCTAGGGTCGTTGCTTGAAGTTCATGGTTTGCAGAGTATACTGTGTGGACCCCTTTCGGGAGTCCTGGACCTTTTGAAGGAGCCATTCCTGCTCCGGGCTTGAGAGGCGGGTGTGTGGAGGGGACAGTGTTTGGGGACCTGGGTTAGCACTAGCTGCCCCAGCCCGCAGCTGGGAGCTGTCCTCTGGGGGAAAGACACTTCCGGCCAAGGAGGCCAGGAGCTCCCTCCCCACACCTCCGGGCAGCGTGAGAGGCTGGCCTTAAGGAGTCCGGTCGTTGGTCTGGGTGGTTGGTCTGGGTCGGGTCTGTGATGGGCAGCGCTGTTGAACGAAGGCGGTGGTGAAGGTGGATCTGTGGGTTGAGGAGGCCGTCATCCATTACTCAGAGGCAGAGGCAGAGGTGGGAGGCTGCGGGAAAGCAGGGTTCAGGTGATGCGCAGAGGTCTGTGGTGTCCATTCCACTCCGAATCACGCCCTTCCTCCTCTGCTTCTCTCCTCTGGCTCCAGCTTCCGCTTCATCTTTCAAAAGCTCTGTAGTTTCCCCGTGGTTTTCCCCGAGGCTGGGATCCCCCAGAGGGGGTTCTTCCTCTGGACAGCGACGGGCATGTGTGGGGCGAGGCCGCTGTGGTGCATCTTCTCATCTGTATTCTGTTCCCACCCCAGAGCACGATGACCGAGTTAGCTTCCCTCAAAGAAGAAGGAAAGGCCGGGGTCCTTTCCGGTGGAAGTGCCCCGATGGGAACCGCAGGTCTGGAAGAGGAGGCACTGCCCCTCGGACGGCCCGCCTTGAGGACGATGACAGAGACGTGGCGATGAGTGATGCCCAGGATGTTCCCCGAGTCCGATAGTAAGTAACCTGCTTTCCTGCAGCCGCCCAAGTCTCCTTCTCCCGGTGACTGGATGATGACCTCTCTCCTCCCCGCTCACCACCAATCCCAGTCAGGACACAGTCTTCAGGACACAGTGCTGCTGTGGCCTGTACAGCTGTTCTGGTTTGACTTTAGTGACTTCATTTACACCATCATCTCTCTTTCTGCCCACCAGAGTGAGAAATGCCAGGACCAGCTTAATGGTTGGATATTTGCGAAGGTCTTATTCTTGGTTTCCCCACAGCAACCCCTATACCGCGCGACCCAACCGTCGGGGTGATAATTGGCATGATCGAGACCGAATTCACGTTACTGTGCGGAGGGACAGAGTTTTTCCACAGAGAGGAGGGGCTGGCAACAGCCAGGATGGGACCTCGAAGAACTGGTTTAAGATTACAGTGAGTATCTGGGAAGTAGATGGTGCAGGGGGGTTGGGGCTAGGCTCAGAGCTAAGGTGCTTCTCTGCACACCACAAAATCAGTCTTCTCAGCTGTTTCTTCCACAGTCAGGTACCCATCCTTTCTCCTAAGGATCAATATCTTAGAGCACCTGGTTCATAAAAGGAGTAGAAGGGACTGGCAGGATTGCAAAGAAAGGAGAGGCATCTCAAGGGAAGCGTGGTGACTGGTGGGGTGTGTGTGTGTGTGTGGAATTACTCCTAGATGTCCATTTGGCTCAAGCTAAGTTGTGGGGCTTGGGGTCTCTTAACTTCTCTGTGGGGCAGACAAGTTATAGATGATATCTTGTGACTTTTAGAATCAAACAATTTGATTCTTTTAAAAATATATACTTTTTTATTGATTTCAGAGAGGAAGGAAGGAGAAAGAGATAGAAACATCAGTGCTAAGGGAAAATCATTGATCAGCTGCTTCCTGCAACCCCCAATGGGGATCGAG